TGAAGGTGACATGGACGGCTAAGATTGCATTTAAAAAAATTAGCTTAATTGTACTTTGGAGTAATTAAGACGTTCAAGCAGTGCATATGATTCAATAAGATATTTAATTCAATTCATTTATACTTTTATTTTTAAAAAATAATATTTAATAAAATTAAATTTTAAATTATAATATTAATGCCCGCTTTTTTTTCTTTTACTTACAAATTATAATCTCTTTTATAAAAAAAAAATCATATTTTAAAATTTTCAGGTTTCAAAATATAAAAATTTATAACGTACTTCTTATAAAGTACGTAAAAATTGGGATTAAATGTAAATTAAAATTTTGATTAATAAATAGTACAGTCAAAATCAAAACAAGCCAAATGAAACTTACATGATCTACCGATCGCTGCCAAGTGGACGATCAGATTGGTGCAAAGGACTCAGAATTACAAGTGGCATATCATGGTTGGTTGTTTGTGGATTTTGCCGCCTTCCAGCTGTAGCACACGGCTTTGGGTCGTAAATATATATATATTTTTAAATTTAAGATAAATAAATTATTTAATCACTTAAATCAAAATAAAATATATCATATTTAATAATTTAAAATAAATAATTATAAATCATATAATTAAAATAATCTCAATAAATAATCACTCATAAAATTTAAATTCAATATCTTTTTATAAAAAAAATAAAATTTAATCGATTCAACCGACGACTCGTCGGTGTAAATATCTTTTTTCTTTCGGGATATAGCCTGGTACGATTTTTGGTTTTGGTCAATCCAATGTCCTGCGCAAGACTCAAATTACCAATCTACCCGAAAATTTTGGTTAAGTACCTTGAATTTTAGGAAAGCGAAAAATTATTAAAAAATTCAAAATTAATTCAAAATTGTAATATTTATTTTTTATTTAATTGTAATTAAATTTATATATTAAATGTATATATTAAATTAATTTAAATTTTAAATTAAAAATAAAAAAAATTAATTATATATTTTTATTAAATTTTTATATATTTTAATTTTTGATACAATAAAAAAATATTTTTTAATTAAATCTATTTAAATATATTCAAATATATATTAAAATAATATATAAAAACAAAAAATTTAAATTTAAAAATTCGTTAAACCAAATTGAATCGATAGAATTTGATTCGATTTAATTTGATTTGTATGAAAGTTCGATTCGATTTTGATTAAATTTTAAAAGTTCATAATTTTATATATTATTAAAAAAAATTAAATTAAATTTGATTTAAATTATTATCATCCTTATCAAATATTGGTATATCTTACTACGTTCTATTGTTTAAAATGGGGATATGTATTTTGTTTAATAACAAGTTACATAAAATTTTTAAATTTTAAAAACAAAAGTAAAAAGTTTTCATATATTTTATTTTAGTCATATTTTAACAATTAATAAATAATATATTAAAATATAAAATAATTAGATTATAACTCATACGATGTACGAAATAAATTTATTTATTTAATATGAATATATATAAATTAGTTTCTTTTTAAAATTATATTCAAATATTTAAAACTCATAACATATATAAAACTTATATATATTGACTTGTTATTAAAAATAAACTTTCTAAAAACAACAAAAAAAATTATGTCTTTCATTTGGATATTTTTGTTTACAATAATATTTATATATCTATAAAATTATATCAAATAAAAATAAATTATGTCTTTTTTTTAAATACAAAAATATATTACTGAATGATAAATTAAATAATAAAAGAAGTATTAACACACTTTCACTTTAGTAATCTTAATTAAATTATTATATAAAATATGAAAAATGTTCAAAATATATGAAAAAATAAAAAATAAATTGAAAATTTTTATTTTTCATAAGAATTAAACTATAATAACAATAAAATATATCTTAGAGAAAAATATAAATAAAAAATTGCAATAGTAATAGAATATATCTTAAAAAAAGGTATTGAACAAATAAAAAAATTAATGTATAACATATTACATTTGTAGTCTTAAATAAAAGAAGTATTAACACACTTTTCACTTTAGTAATTTTGACTAAATTATTATACAAAATATGAAAAATGTTATAAATATGTAAAAAAAAAATTAATTGAAAAAAATTAAATTTCATAAGAATGAAACTGTAATAAGAATAAAATATATCTTAGAAAAAATTTGTAAAAAAAAAAAAGAATTGCAATAGTAATAGAAAATACTTAAAAAATTTTACTGAAAATAAAAAAAAATTAATATATAACGCATTAGTCTTAAATTTGTAAAAAAAATATTTAGTGACAATTATGATTAAATAGATAATTTTAAATTTTTAAAATTGATATAATAAGTGATAAAGATAATATTATTTTTTTTGCATTTATTTGAAATATAAATTTGATAATTAGAGTTCAAATTGATATAATCATTTTGATAGTTTTATTATTTAAAGATTTAAGATGAAATTTTTTTGAAATTTCAAAATCTTACGTAAAATTACTTGAATTTTTAATGTTTTACGTAAGTTTTTTAAAAAGATAATTTTTTAAATAAAAATTTTCAAATTAAGATAAAAAACATTGTTGAAAGATTTGGATAAACTTAATCTTTGTAAAATTTAAACATGTTTGAAATATTTTGATAATTAAATAATTTTTTAAATAAAGTTATTTGGTAAACAACTAAAATTATTTGTTAAAACTATAAAATCCATATTTCATATTTTTAATTTTATAATATATATCTCTAAATTGATTTAATTTTCAATTATAATTTGAATAATTTTGATATTTGAATAAATATAAAATTATCTAATTTGTAATTAAAAAAAAACTATCTTATTCTTTTAAAAAACTATCCTACATGTCATTTAAAAGAGTTGTCCACATAGATACCTATGTAACAAACTTATTTATGTATGTTGTTATATAAAATATATATTAGATTTATAAATTTATTTATTGAATTTAATTTTTAAATGAATGATGCTAAATTTATAATGTTTTTATTATATCTTTCATTCTTCAACAATAACATAAAAAAAATTACAAGATTAACCTTTTTATTTAATTTATTTTAAATCATAATTCTATTTTCAATCTTGAAAGTAATTTATGTATTTAAAAAAGAAATATCAATTATAAAAGTACAAATTACCAATATATATATAATTTTTCATCACAACTTTAAATAAAAAAATAGTATTGAAAGTAATTTTTTGATATTATGCTGGTATTTGTATAGTTATTGTCAAAAAATATTTTTTTACCCTTTAATGCTTTAAGGTGGTGTTTGATTAAAAAAAAATCCACAAAATTTTTTTGAAAATTTTGATAGTGGATATTTGATTCCCATGTTTGGTTCAATGTAATCTGACTATGGAAGAAAATTATTGATTATCAATAGTATCCAAAAGTATCGAAATCAGAAACCCACATATTCCTGTGATATTTTAAGATTTCAGAGGAAAAATTATGTTATTTTCAAATTTAACCTAAATAAAAAAATATGAAATAATTGTTACCATTTTGAAAAATATGTTTAAAAGTGATTGCAACTTGGTTGTATGTTTTTGCTGCAAAAATATTTTTTATATGGAGATTATTTAAGACATTTTTCAACCTAAAATGTCTTAAATAATTCTTGATATATTTTTTAAAAATGATTATTTAAGGTATTTTTTGACAAAAAATACCTTAAATAATCAAGTTTAAAAAAAATAAATAAGATTATTTAAGGTGTTTCTGATTGAAAAATACCTTAAATAATTCTCATATAAAAAAATTATTTAAGGTATTTTCTAATCATAAACATATTAAATAATGCCAAATATTTTTTTTATTGATGATATTTTATAAATAAAAATAGCAACTAAATAAAATATTTGTATTTTTTTGCTGCTAAAGGCATAATTTGTCTTTTAGATATTTATTATTAATAAAAGCTAATGAAAATTTGTTATTATATATGTTAAGAAAATTAATATATGTGAATTTTTTCCAATCAAATAAATAAATTTAAATACATGATACCTTGAAAATGAAAGAAAATTTAATGTATCATATTTTTTATCGAAATTTAAGATTTCACGAACTAAACACCTCCAAAAAAATTTTGCTAATTATCTTATCACATTTTTTCCCCCCTTTACTCCTTATTTAGGCTGCTTTGACAGAGTAATGAAATGAATTTTTTTACTTGATGGTATCATTTTATGATTAAATTCAATTGTAAAATACAAGTATAACATGATAAAAAATTTTCTTATTATACTACCAAAGGACCTTTAAATATGTTAAATTTTCATTTTTTATTGAATACATAATTATATGTAAAAATTAGATGACATAATTTGCAAATTATACACCTTATCAATTGTACAATTGCATTAATATATCTTATAAAATTTTAAAAAAATACAACATTCCCCACTCTAAGTTCCAATTTTATAATAATATTTAATTTATTTCTAATACATTACACATTGACAAACCTTTTAAAAAGGTTACAATTATAATAATAATAATTATATTATATTATATTTATATATCACTATATAATTAAATAATAGATTAAAATATAATTTATCAATAAAATTTATTTACAATGAGATTTGAACTTAGTGCTCCTCTTTCTCATTAATCTAAGACGTCATTGGTGATTTACTCTTAAAAAAATTGGACATATTGTAATTAAATCATTTTATTTGTTGTTAAGGGAGATTTTGTAATTCACTTAGCACCTAATTTAGAAAAAAAGAAAAAAGAAAAAAAGCAAAATGTAAAACAAATCATTTCTTGAAGATAACAAAATGGTAAATAAGAGCAACAGAGGGGGCAATTGCACGTACTACTAAAAAAAAAAAAAAAAGAGAGAAACCCAAAAAAAGCCTTGGCGGTACTCCGCGTCAACTGTACTTTTTGGACTTTTGCCGTCTTTTTTTTTTAATTTCTTCCTTCTTTATCCCTCCCTATTAAAAAACTTTGTTTGGAAAAAGAAAAGTGGTTTTAGCTCCTTGTTTTTTATTTATGTTTTGTTTCAGACTCTCTTTTGTTCTTCCTTCTGAAGACTGATTCTCCACTCAACTCTCATTTGTACTTCCCTTAGCCAAAAAAAAAAGAAACCCTAATTCCTCTTTTTTATATATATATATAGTATTGAAGGAGTAGACGAAGCTTTAACGGTTTCTGATCGAAGATTTTGTGTTTCCGTCTCAGATCGGTCGGTAACTTATTCGCATTTCTCTTTTTTTTTTTGAAAGGATTATTTTTTAGTTTGATTAAGTACTTTTTTTAAACTTGATTTGGTTGCCTGGTTCCATGAATGTTTGATAGATATATTAATTTTTAAAGGAGTGGAATGTTTGGTAGAGGCGCGATTATCGATCAGTTTTTTCGTTTAAATTTTAATTTTAATTTTTTTTACCTTCGAATTTACTCTGGAAAATCTCGTCTGTTGTCGTCATTATTCGTTAGAAATGCATAGGGATTTCTTCTCCATTTGTTTTTCTTGACAAAAATAATCGTTCTCTCTGTTTTTTTTCCTCCTTTTAAGTTATTTTTTTTTCTAATTATTGTTATAGCTCTCTGTCTGTTACATGCGTCGATGGTTCATACCTTTTTGGCCCTGAGATTTTTTATTTTTTTGGCTATGAATTTTTGGCTTTATTTTATAGCCAGACCAGTTTAATTTGTCCAAAAATAGGGTGATTGTAGTGATTCTCCTGAATGTTGTGTACATAGGGTTGACCTTGATTAAAGAGTTATTTTCATTTTGAAGGACTTTTTTTATTCTTCCTTTCACTAATTTTCTATTGGAAATGGGTTCCTTTGAGTAGTAAAACTGCCTAGTAGATTCGAATGTTTTGAAGACTTTTTTCTGGATTTTCCTTGTATTGCCTTTAAGTCTTAATGTACATGTTTTTTTATTTTAATTTGTGACTTCAGTCTTGTTTCTGACATAGGTTCTACCGCATTTCCACAAAAGTTGGCTGTGCGGTTTACTTTGCAAGCCTTCATCCTTGAGTTTCTGCTCCGCTTATAGTTGGACTATGTCTGCTGACGCCATGATAAGCATTCCTAATGGAAATAGCAATGGCAATGCACAGCCTTTTCCACAGCGAACTTACCAAGTTGTTGTGGCTGCGACTAAAGATATGGGTATTGGTAAGGATGGGAAGTTACCATGGAAATTGTCTGCTGATCTCAAATTCTTCGAAGATATCACTCTGACTACGTCAGACTCTGGGAAAAAGAATGCAGTCATAATGGGTAGAAAAACATGGGAAAGTATTCCCCTTCAGAATCGGCCTCTTCCAGGTCGTCTTAATGTTGTTCTGACTCGTTCTGGAAGTTTTGATATTGCAACTGCTGAGAATGTTGTTATATGTGGAAGCATGACATCTGCTTTGGAATTATTAGCTGCATCTCCTTATTGTGTTTCAATCCAGAAAGTCTTTGTCATAGGTGGCGGCCAGATATTCAGGTGCAGAATCAGTTTTTTAAATGCTTTTCAAGATCTCTTATTTCATCGTTTTCCTCCCCCTCTTTTCTTATATGCACTGTCTTTTGATGCAGGGAATCTCTTAATGCAGCTGGATGTGATGCTATTCACATTACAGAAATTGAGACAAGCATTGAATGTGACACTTTTATGCCCGCCATTGATTCCTCTGTATTCCAGCCATGGTACTCATCATTTCCTGTGGTGGAAAACAACACCCGATATTGCTTCACAACTTATGTTCGTGTGAGAAACTCTGCAGTTGAACACCTCAGTGAGAACTGTGATCAGGTCTTTGATAATAAACCTGATGCTGGTAAATTTGAGGTAAAGAAGTTCTCATTCCTGCCCAAGATGATTTTTGAGAAGCATGAGGAGTACTTGTACCTGAAAATGGTTCAAGACATCATATCTGACGGTAATCTTAAGGATGACAGGACTGGGACTGGTACTTTATCAAAGTTTGGTTGCCAGGTAATCTGTAGCTCGTAGTTAAAGCCCTGTCTGTTTTTGTTTGTGGAAATAGATTTCCATCAGTCTTTTTTGGTTTCTGATTGCTGATTCATATATATATTTTTATCCATATTGTCCACAGATGCGGTTCAATTTGCGAAAAACTTTTCCACTTCTGACAACTAAGGCATGTATATTATTATGTTTATTTAATGGTTTCCTTGTAATGGAGTTAGTTCTTCTGTATATTATTTCAATATTAATTAGACAAAGAAATTGATTTGCATTAGTATTGATTTTTTCTGCAGAAAATATTTTGGCGAGGTGTTGTTGAAGAGCTGCTCTGGTTCATCAGTGGTTCAACTAATGCCAAGGTGATGATTTCTTGAACAATATGCTCCATTTACATTGCTAGACAACTTTTATGCTCTGATTGGACGAAGGTGCAGCTCTTTCAATTGTTTTCTGAACATTTTATTAGTTTTTCACACTCTATTTTAATATCTTCTATGGGCCTTCAAACTTTTTGTATTCTAAATGAGCTGATCTGATTTACTGGATGGCTGAATTAGCGACCGGAGGTTTTCTTTTGATATATCGGAGCTGGGATTAGGATTTCATTCTAAAACATTTGCATCATTAACAGGTCCTTCAAGAAAAGGGCATTCATATATGGGATGGTAATGCATCCAGGGACTTTCTTGATAGGTATTATTTAATTCTTTTTCTATCAATTTCTTGTTGAACTAAGTACTTTTTTCCTGTCTTTACTAACTTGCATTTGAATTGCAATCTTAGTATCGGGTTGACTGATAGGGAGGAGGGTGACTTGGGACCCGTGTATGGGTTTCAATGGAGACATTTTGGTGCTAGGTTGGTGGATTTTGACTTTTTCTACGCTTGGCTGGTGTTTCATATTTCTGCAAAGATGTTTTATTTCAGTTGTCTTGTATCTGAAAATTTCCAGGTATACTAACATGCATGCTGACTACACCGGACAAGGATTTGACCAGTTGTTAGATGTTATTAACAAGATTAAGAAAAATCCAAATGATAGAAGGATTATACTCTCAGCCTGGAATCCTTCTGATCTCAAACTGATGGCACTTCCACCTTGCCACATGTTTGCTCAGGTAGTATTAAGTAGTGAACTTATGTCTCACTCTTTCTTTTGTACTTAAATTAATCCTTTCCAGTATGAATATTGCAGTTCTATGTAGCCAATGGGGAGTTATCATGTCAAATGTACCAGCGATCTGCTGACATGGGCTTGGGTGTGCCATTTAACATTGCATCTTATGCACTCCTGACGTGCATGATTGCTCATGTTTGTGGTATGTTGTCATTGAGACCGATACTATGTTTATGTATGATTGAATTGCTAGAATGAATCATACTAGATGGATATATCGAATTATTTTATACCAATTAGTTGGCTGAAAGAGTGGCTTTGGTACCATATGTGTTGGTGAATTACAGCGAGCTGCTGTGTATCAATACACAGATGCCCGCACGCTCAATAGGTTTATTATGCTGATAGGGGGTTCTAACCTTTTCCGGAAGAAGCTAGACTGACTATGTTGACAAGTAACGCATGTGTAGGGTGGCTTTCCTATATTGTAGATTTGCACTTCTAGAGAATAAATAAGCAAATGATACAACAATGAATAGAAGACAACTTGATGCTAGAGCTGTGGGAGAGTTTCCTGCTCGTCTATATAGATTAGATTAATGGTTTTCACTTCTGCTAGACTGCAGTCCTATACTTTTAAGAACCTTTCTTAATTTCTTTTATTATGTACAGATCTTTTTCCTGGTGATTTCGTCCACGCGCTTGGTGATGCTCATGTTTATAGCACTCATGTTAGGCCCCTGCAGGAACAGCTTCAGAAACTGCCCAAGCCTTTTCCAGTGAGTATAGTGAAATAATCTTAAAACCATGCATAGGTATTTTTGGGCCCCCTCCCCCCAAGCTCATTTCTTCAAGAGCATTTTCTTACCATATTGAAATGCAGATTTTGAAGATCAATCCTGAGAAAAAGAATATAGATTCCTTTGTGGCATCTGATTTCAAACTCATAGGCTATGATCCTCGTGAGAAAATAGAGATGAAAATGGCTGTATAGAGCTCTTATTTAGGTTCAGTATACCCAAGGGCTCCAGTCCAAATCTAGGCAGCATCTGCACAGTTTTGAGGTAAATTTATGATCCTTCAATTATGCATTTGATGATTAGTTTCCTTTAACCGGTATCTCTTAGGCCATAATTAAGTTTTTGTATGTAAAGTAATTTAGGTTAAGTAGTTTATGGTGGATGCTTGGAGTTGTATATAGTTGGTATGTATCCTTGCTAATCTGTCATGCAGATGCTCTTCTTTTTGCCGCTTGTTGGTATTTCTCTTTTTGCTAAAAACATTGTATTGGTAATAACTGCATATCTTTTTCTAGCACAATGGCTTTGTCTCACTGGAGGTGCAAAATTAGATGATGTTCTAGTTGGTGTTGGCAATAGAATGATTTGTCCCTTTAGCAGATTATCAGTCAAGTTGTATCCCATAAGAAAATGTCAATGCAATAGAGAAAGGGTTCATAATCATACATGCTAAAATGTGTTGAGCAAATAGTTTCTTTCAGTCGGCCCTCAGCATTTGACCCTGTGCAACTGAACGTTTGTTTTGGTAACAATATTTCAGGGCTGGTTACTGGAGGCTCATGTTGATGTAGAGACTTGTACTGATAGCAAAATAAAAATTTGATAGTTGGATACATACAATTCAAGGATGATATGTAGTAAGTGAGAATCCTTTAGTTCCACATTATTCTTGTTGGTTCTAAGGTGATTTAGGATACTATATTATCTTGTTTTTCAAGTTTATTATCATATTTTTGCCTCGCGATACATGAAGCAATCACTTCCTGAATTGCCAAAACATATTCTTGAAAGAGACTGGAATTTGGAAAACATCGGTTTCTTTCAGTGAAAGTGCTTTATTTGGCAGTACATTCTGGTTTTAGTGGGTGAATTAAAGTCACTTTTATTTGGTACATTATTTGGAGGATTGCCTGGTTTAGGCAATTGAATTGCGGATGAAAAAATGATATCAATGGTGGCAAATATCAATCCAGAAATCTGTTTCTGAAAGCAGAAGTTTTTTGTCAATTTATTAGTACACATTTTAGTGTGATGGAAAATGACAAGGTTTACGTGTGAAATTGGATTTCATTATAGTAAATCTTTTTTTTTGGGGTAAATCCTAATAAATATCTTTAATTCCCTTTAATTTATCTTTTATATGTGGTCAAAACCCACTTTCAGTTGAAATTTGATTTTTTTTTTTTTAAGAAAAAGTAATTTCATTCATGAAAGAACAGAGCTACAATCATCGGTTAGAATTGGTTAACATAAATGCAATCATGGAAATTTTGCTTCCTCAATACAATAACCAATGGGAGGGAGATGTTGATTAATTGACCTTAAAACCTACTCGGTTACTTCCAAAATTCAACCGGTAAGCCCCATATCTTGTGCCAACTCAATAGCCCTTATTACAGCTGCAAGACTTTTCAGTTCCACTACAAAAAGCATCTGCCACTCCACCATTGTTAGTCTAGGCCTAGCAGGATAGGCTCTTTTATCTTATTAGTAATATTTCATGGCAAAGCCAGGCCCATAGCGTCATTTCCGTATTTCATGTCTGTAGTTTATCTACTACGTCTTCACTCTGACAATCCTCTTCTCCCAGAAAACTACAGCAATTTACTGATTAGAGCTTGTTGGTTCCCTGTTTCTTGCTCTCAGCTTGTTTCTCTTCTACAATTTCCCCTCCTGCTGCTTGGACTTCTCCTGATTGCAGTTCAGTAGCTTCAGATCCTTGAGCTTCTCGCTTGGCCTCAAGAAAGTTGATTAGACCTCGTAGTACTATTTCAGGCACCTCATCTCTCATCAGTTGCTCACCTACTTCTGCAGGGGTTACCTTTTCTATCATTAGCATTTCGTCAATCTCTAAGAAAAGCGGGTGCACTTGTATCCCTAGGTAATTGGAAGCCAGCATTTTGAACCCACATGGAGTGCAGTAGGACATGTGGATGTGCACATCCATTCGACAAGGACGCAGCAAAGCTGGGTCTAGGCGGTCCTTGTGATTGGTGGTGAACACTATAATCCTTTCATCCCCACAGCTTGACCGTAACCCATCTATGAAGTTCAACAATCCTGACAGGGTCAACTGATACTGGTAGAAAGCAAAGTGTGAATCCATGTGTTCCAATGGATTCGTTTTAAGAAAAGCTTCTAAACGAATTTCCATGGTAAAAATCAATTTTCCTATAATCAACATCTTATTTAAAGCATCCACAAAATACAAAGACTAAAACATCCTACCAAGAGGTGTTAGTATTTTGACAATGCAAGTATGCATCTAGTCATCAAAAATATTTACCTGAGGTAATTGATTATTTCGATGAGAACCTTGCGACACCGCTGCCCTGACTTGGGCAAGCCTATCCTGCAACTCCAAGAACAATCAATATCCTCCACAACCAGTACTGATTTATTCCCAGTTGAAATCAGCACCTTCCTGAGTTTCTGAATTCCCTCTGATATCAGTCAACTCCAAGTCAAAAATATCAAAATTAAGATAGTTGGCCATGGCAGCAATCAAGCTTGACTTCCCTGTACCAGGAGGACCAAACAACAAGTACCCCCTTTTCCAAGCCTTGCGTACCCTCTTGTAATACTCCTTTCTTTTCACAAATCTCTCCAAATCCTGCATTATATTATTCTTCACCCCAGAATCCATTGCCAGGGTTTCAAAAGTAGCCGGATGATCAAGATTCACTGACTGCCAAATATCTCCTGCCCTTCCAGAAATCCTATCATATTTCAAGGTATATAACTTCAAGGTTTTCTTTTTCTCCTTCAATTCTTTTGCTTTAGCCAATGTATGCTGCATATAAATGTTCAAGATCATTTCTTTATGTTTCAAGTGGAAACTTAGCTCGAAGAACCGAATCTCGTATTTCAACACAGGGTTGTAAGCATCAGACCCTGGAATATACTGGAAAGGAATATCTTTTGAAACAAACTCACACTTCACTTGAACCCATTAAGGTTATCAATGATTTCTTCATTCTTTTCAAGGGACAACGAAAACTTGCCTTCTTTTCTTGGCATGGTTACTCTAATTCTCTTTGTGTCAAGAGGGATTGTGGGCTCAAGATAGAGTTCCGCAGCCTCGTAAAGAATGTTATGGTTGAGACCATCGTATTCTTCAATGACTAACGTGAGCTCTGAAGAGAAAGAGACAAGGAGATTCTTGATTTTCAAGGAAATGTAGTTCCGGAGCTCTCGAGGAACGAATTCATTGGCGAATGAGTGAACCAACACGGCAGTGGCGGCAACAGATGCAGCAGCTGTGAAGATTACCTTGGCGGAGGGGACTTGGCGAGTGGCATCGAAAAAAATTGTGGGTTTGGGCACTGTTGGCATTTTGTTCTTACTTGGATAGGTTTCGAAGTAAGATCAAGAGATGGTGTTGTGACTTACAACGTGAAACTTCCTTTGTTAAAAATGGTGGAACTCGTTAGTTTCCTACACTTCTGTTGCGGGAAATTCTGCCACCAATCAACAGAATCAGATCACAGTCCAATCCTTTCTCAGGAATTGGAGCGCGTGGCCAACGGGTCTAACTTTTTACCTTATATATCTTTGTTAAGAAATTTCTCATAATCTTCCTTATTAATACGGTTAAGTAATATTTTAATAAAAAAAAATTAGATGAAGTTTTATATCGAAGTAGTTTTTTATAAGAAATGAATAAATAAAAATAAAACTAGTAGATTGAAAAATTTTATTATATAAATTAAGAGTGTAAAATTAAAAAAATAATAATAAATTTTTATATATTTATTAAATAAATATTTTTAATAAAAATATTAATAAAAGTTTTATTATTAAATAACTATCAATCAAATTTAAATTATAAATAATATATTTAATATTTTTTACATATTATTAATTTTCACATTAAATTTTATTAATTTATCAATTTATATTTTTTATTAAATTATTTTTTAAAAAAAATTTCACAAACTTCACTAAATAATTTCATATAAATTTTGTTCATATTAATTAATTGTATAATTTTATATAAGTTTTGTTCATATTTTAATTAATTATGTGAAAAATAAAAATTCTTATTAGCTTCCATCTACCCTATGTTGGGATAATTTAAGAAACTTTTAACTAATTAACTAATGAAATAAAAAATTAATATGATAATAAGATTTAAGTAAAATATCATTTTAATCAAGGTTATTTAGGGTAATTAAAAATTAATTATTATGATTTTAATCAAAATTTACTTAAGCGATCAATTACACTTAAATTAAAAAAAATTACTTAAAAGCGATCAGGGTCACTGTTATTTTATCCAGGAGCTCTTTCGTTATGGAAATAAACTATGCCCAAACCTAACAACTGAGTCAGTTAAACCCAGATGAGCTTTTTGTCTTGTGGTGTTAGAATCTCAAGTCTTTGTCTTTGAACTTTTCCTCTTTTTTTTTTTCGTCCTGAAATGAAGAAGAAAGGAGGGAAGGGGGTCGATAGATTGTTGTTTTCTTGCTCTTTCTATGTCAGAAAGAGACCATTTCTTTTTTCTTTTCCTTTTTCTTTGGGGGGTGGGGGAGTGACAGGAGACAAAAACAATTGTCAGGTCATTTACAGCAACCAAGTCGAACACCAACAGCGAAATGGGTCACTTTTTTTCTTTTGTACAAATCATTAGAGGGAACCCAAAACTACATTTTGTATCACACAATTTGTTTTTTTCATTTTCCAATTTGGTTTTGACCTTTACATTTTATTATTATTTTTGTGCTTTCAGTGAAACTTGGCTTCATTCTTCAAGCATGCCACTGAGCAGCACAAGAGGCAGCTGGCATTTATCTGAATTCTGGAGTTTTGGAAATTGGAAACAAATTATTAGACTGGGAATTTTCTTTCAAGTAGCCCCATGGATGTGGCCAACAGAAAATTGAACTAGACATGTCTGCCAATTTTTTAATGTTAATTCAAGTTGTGATAAGTTCTGATGGGCACAAATCTAATCCAAGTGGGGAGACAGGATTCTGATAATTATCCAACACAAAACAAAAGAAATGGAAGACACAATTATGGGTTTTTGAACTTATAAACTATACCGAAACCTAACACCTGAGTGAGTTAAACCCAGCTGTCTACCTACCATCCCCAACTGCTGCTTTTATTCCCTTTGAGATGTTAAGTCAAAAGCAAAATCACTCTTGTTTTGGCTTGTGATTTGAGGATTAAGGTGAAGATGAAGTTCCTTTTTCCAGGTGGATTGGTCCTTTGCAAAGGATATGGAGGCCTGATCACCATTCAAAAACACCACATTGCTTTGCTATAGTTCAGCTTTGCGCTTTGCTCTGTGACTTGATATTCGACTTTCTGCATTGGCAATTCGGCATCTAAAAGGATAAAATTTTCAATAGAACAAAATTTAGAATACATTCCTAAACATGATGACATATCGGCATATACTTAGAGTGAGTGTAACACAGTTGGAAATTCTTCTTTTCTGCATAAATTCAATTTCCAGGACAATATCCGCAATCTAAAGCAGCTGCAGAAGGTTCAGATTCGTGGTTTTGTGACGTCTAGATTGGTTTTGTTGCATAGGCAAGCATCACAGTTTCAAAGTTTTAAATCCAAACTCGAAACAAGGACAATAGATTACTACTAGTAACTCATTGAATTTTATGACAAAATTAACCATGTACATAGCAGTATAGGCGAACGAAAGGAAAGGCAAAATCAAAAGCCTAAAAACAATCATAAAAACACTGGAAAAAGGGAGCACCAGGGTTTGCTTCGTCACTCTAACTCTGTCCAAATCACCGAGTACTCTTCTTCCCTTAAAAGCTTTTTTTGCCTGGCAATGAAAGCCTCAACCGTGTTACGAAACTGCTCACTGCTCATTCCGTCTTCAGGATATGAACTCTTCAACAGTTGCTCATCAGAATCATTGTCTTTTGTGTACTTTTCTGACTCCAATCGCCTGAGTTGCTTGCAATCTTTATTGCAGTTCACCCTCTTAAGCTTCTCTGATTGACTTCTTCGATATTTCTTTGATCCCTTTGATGCATGCACATTAAGACTAATCGCTGTCTCTTCACCTACAATCTTCTTGCTTTGTTTTTCTCTGTATTCGATTTCAGATCGATGAATTGCCTGACTTTTCTCACTCTTCTCAACAAATTCTTCGTAAAGATCAGTTCCTGAGCTCTTCGAAGCAGAATCATGAGCTGAAAACTGCCCAGCCTTTGCAAAGAGAGTGATGATTATAGCATTCCCAACGATGAACACAAAGCGAGGGCTCACCAGAACAACCGACAAGCCCCGAACATACTCACCAGAATTTTTAACAGCGACTGGGAGTTGAATTGTAAACCTGGAGATCAACACCAGAAGAACACAAACCTCAACAAACCTGAGCAAGTTTGCCATCTTGCACAACTGACGATACTTCAAGATAGCGTTTCTCTTCTCAAGTTTTATGTCAAATGTATCCATCTCCAAAAAAAAGAGCAGAGAAAGTCAGGGAAAGTCGAAGACAACAAATGGTTTTTCTTTTAATGGATGGATTAGTTTAGTTCTATCGGTTCTCACTCGAAAGAGAATTGAGTTAGTATGGGAGGTTGAGCAGCAACTCCGTCGCTAAATAAAGAAGATAAGCAGGCAGCTATAACCATGGTAGACGCTGGGAAGAATTTGCCGATTAAGTTCCTGGAAAAGAAAAGACTATAGGGAAGCTGAGGATTGACAAAACAGAGGAAACAGAGTGAGCTCTTATACACTCTCTTCTGGATCAAATTCTGTTCTCCTCTTTGTGCATAGGTTTGAGAATATTTTTATGTTCTTGAATTATTGAAATCCGTATATGATTGCAATCTATAGAGCTAAGGAATATAAACCTTTTTAGCCTATACAATTTTAGACACGATCCGTAAATACGACATAAAAATAATATTAAAAAATTACTATTTTCATTTAAAAATATTTGTCGTATATTTATTTTTAAAAAATTTAAGAAAAAAATTAATTTAAAATTTTTTATAAAATTAAAGTTTCATGATTTTTAATATCAAAAAATTTAAAAAATTTAAAATATAAAAAATAAGAATTTTAAATGTTTATAAAAATAAAATATAATTTTAAAACATCCAAAAAAAAGGACAGATAAAAAAATATAAAAATAATAAAATTTAAAATTTTAATATAAATTATATATAAATTTTATAAAAATTAAAACTATATTTTATATTTAATATTAATATAAATTATAATATATTAATTTTTATATTATATATATATATAACATAAAATAAATATGATAAGAATATATAAATTTTTAAAAAAAATTATTTTTCATATATTCTTTGTTTTAAATTTCTTTTTAAAAGTAAAGACATTATATTCCTTCCATGTACTATACTTTGGAAAATATGGTAATTATGGATTTTATTTTTCCACATCACTATTGCTATTTCATCCTGAGTTTATTCTCACCTCTCCCAAAAGTACTTTAATGTGTACTACCAATCTACCACCATTCCTGAGTGCCATTTGTTTCCATACTACAACTAGCCTGTCAGTCAGGCAACCAGCTTTTTCAAGAAAAATAGCAAAAACCATGAAGGTGCCTAACTTGCCTTTTTCTTATAGAATATATCCCTGCTAAAGATGTCTACAATTATTTATTTACCGGTATTTTTTTTTATAAATTGTATTATTTAAAAAAAATTAAAAATATTTATATTTAATGAATTATTAATGTAAACGTTATATATTATCAATGAATTATATATTTTGTAAAAAATTAATTTTAAATATGTTTTAAATATATTTTTTAAAGATTAAATGTATTTATTTTTAAAAAATTTTAAAATTATTTTTTATTAAATAACATTGTATAATTTATTATAAATTTAAGCTTTATAATTAAAATTACATTTAAATATATTTATTTACTCTTTTTAAATATGTAATCGATCAAATTTGAATCGATATAGTATTAAGTTTAAGCTTGAGTTTAACTCGAAATTTAAAATTAAAAATTTGACTCGAACTCAATTAAATTTTTTTTAGCTCGAGTTAGACTTGATTTTTTTTTAGCTTGGGTTAAAATTTTTTTTAACCCAATTAACATAAAAAAATAAGTTAAATTCTTATATTTAACAAAAACTTAATTATTTTACTAGAGTTTAAGTTCAAGTTCGGTATATTTTATTAATTAAGATGTATTAAAATATAAAAATTCGATTAAACTCATAAGCTACTCGAGTCGAGTATAAAAATATTTGAATTTAGCTTAATCGATATATCAAATTATTTGAGTTTGAGCTCAACTTAATAATAACTGAATCGAATTCGAATTTTATTCGAATCAAATTTAAATAATTTACAAATATTAATATATCATTTATATTTATACTCTTTTTATCCATTTTTTTGTCAATTTTTAGATATCTCAAAATTATATATATATTTAAATATTTAAAACTCTTATTTTTTATACTTTAAAATTTTTTTTATAATTTTTCTTACTTTTTAACATTAAAAATCATAAAACTTTAAATTTATAAAAAAAATTTAATTTTAACACTAAATACATTGAAATTAAAATTTTTTTAAAATTCCATAAAAACCAATATGGATGAAATAAATTAGGACCGAAGAGTATTAAAATACAATTATTCGTGAGAATTGCGAAAGGACAAAAACGTCACAAGGGCCAAGAAGTCCTTTCTCACCATTAGGGGAATAAAACAAAAAAAATGCATGCATGAGTGCGTACAAGTGCAGATAGATTGAAAAAGACTTGGCAGCAAACTAGAACCCAAAATTTTGGAAAAGAAAAAAAAAAAATCTGAAACCGACGACGCCGGCAATGACTTGTTAAGTAGCCTGTTAAGTTAAAAAGTTTGCCACGTGGCATCCGAGTACACTATACGTCAGAGATGAATAAGATTCCAATACCCGTTCCTTACTCCCTAAGCCATTGCCACGTAACCTTTAACTGGCGGGTTCTGTTATTCACTCCTCTGTCCTGAGACTCACCGATAGTAAAGTGAGACCTCCCCTTTTTGCCTTTCTATTGGGCCACGTGGCATCTGTTATTTTAGTCTTCAGCAGAACTTAATCAGCAAACCAATTTTGTCTTTTTAAAGGGTTTTGTTTAACTTAAACCAAAAAAAATCTTTAAACTTTTTATTTTTAGTATACTCAAATAAATTTTTAATTTATATTTAAATAAATCTTTAAACATTTTATTTGTATTCAAATATACTTAATTTTTATTCATATTTAAATGAAATCTTAACATAAATAAAAATTTATTTTAAATAAAGATTTATTTAAATAGAAATTAAAGAATATATTTTTATTTAAATATTATATAAGAATAAAAATTTGTTTTTAAAATGTATAATAATTCAACAACTTTTTACTATTTTAACCTTTCCATTTAAAGTATGAATGATATAGACATTAAACTGTTGTTATTTTATTTTCTCTTAAAAAGGTAAGAAAGATCTAAAGCTAATTAATCTTATCCATTAATAATTTTTTCTTATTAGAAAAAAAAAAAAAAAGCAATCTTACTTTAAAGAATAAAATAAATAGAGGAGGATAGAAATTGGAACATAAACCAAAAATTCAAAAACACGATAATACGAAATAAGATTTAATTCAACTAATTCATATAATATTTTTTAAAAATAATATTTAAATTATAATAAATTTAAGTTTAAATATCAATATTTGTAACATTTTTTTATATTTAGATTACAATCTATTTTGTAAAAAAAAAAATCTTATTTAGCTTTTATTTTTGAAATATCTGATGACAAAACTTATGAATTAATATATCATTAGCTTAATTATATAGTGAAAAGTGCTTCTTTTTTAACAAAGACAATTTAATTTTTATTGACCAATTGTCATAATACATATGTATAGATTAGGGATGTCAACGGATCGATCAGGGTGGATTTTTGCTAATCTCAAATCTAATTTGATTTTATACTCACAATAAACAAACCCAACTTGACCTAATTTTTTTAAAATTATTTTATATTTGAATCTAATCAAATTCGATATCGTATAAAATTGTACCCGATTCGATCTAATCTAAAATTAATAAAATATTTTTTTAATATAAATATAAATTTAAATTTATATACAAAATATATAAATATAAAATTAAATAAATAATTAAAAATATTTTTTTATAAATATATATTAGGTAAGGACAAGGTGGGTTTGTCTAAAACTTAACCCTGATCGAACCCTAAAATTTTTTTATTATTATCTGATTTGATTCGAAATTCGATTAAAAATAATGATCTTAAGTAATTGGATCAAATCAAAATCCATCGATTATGGGTGGATTTGTCATCCCTACTAGAGATAGGAATGCTTGATCTTACATAAAGAGCAAATTGACATGATTAATGTTAAAGGTGAAGGAAAGAGAACAAAGAAGTTGAACTATAAATGTTATTACATACTTGATTTTATTGTTGATTAATTTTAGGATAACTAATAATTTTGAATATCCAAATTTCACATATTATTTAACTTTTACTTAAATTTTACACTAAAAAATAATGTAATTTGTGAATTTGTTGGGTAATTTTCGCTCATTGAGATCTACAATATGACATACATAATACAAACACATTTTTTATCTCAAAAGTAAAGTTAAAATTGTTTGAACTCAAATTTAAATCTTATAGTATGTTATAACTTTTACTTTAATCATTCAATTAAAATTTAAAAAATACATACATATATAGCAACTCGTAAACAATGTAAATTATTAAAGCTTTATAAAATTAAAGATTTAAATTTAAATTTATTAATATCATTTTTAAAAAATAATAATATGAATTAATCGATATGAACTTCTTATTGCATTAAGTGTGATATTTAAGCAATAAAAAACCACATAACTCAACAGGATATTCGTAAATAGTCCAATTAAGGAATTTATTTATTTTTTCAAAATAAGTGATTGATAATAATAATAAAAAAAATCTAGTTGCTCGGAATGGGACAACTTAAAAAAGGGGAATATAAACCCCACTTGGAAGCCGAATTTAATAAATGATTGGGCATTAGGGGGAAAAATGAGCTTAGATCTGTGGGCTCCATTTGCTTCTTTATTTTGCATTATCCGTTTTAAAGTTCAGCATATATTCATGGGTCCTCCCAGTATGGATTTAATTCATAAAATAATCACAACCTTGAACATTTGTATTAAGGATTTAATCAAATGTAAACCTTTCTTTTAAGAAATTAATTTAACTTTTATTGGTTGTAAAGGCTTATTAATAATAAAAAAATATATGAATAATTTTTTAATTTAACTAATATTTGAAGATTACGAGTTTGAAAAAATTTAAATGTGTAACGTATTTTTTATAAATATATAATAAGATAAAAAATTTAAGAATAAATTAAATATTCTGAAAAAAAAAAACCGAAATACCATTCGATTAATTATAGGGTTTAATGTTCTTTTTTGAGTTGATGGAACATGAAACTCTTTCTTGTTCATCTATTTTGAAAACTTATTCCTCCCTGCTCGGAGTGGAAGCTGATTCAATAACACGAGAGCAAAGAATCGGCTTGAAATTCTTAATAATGGATCGTCTGATTTCAGAATTATGCCTCTTTTGGTTTTGCTTAAATGCTCGCATCATCCACAAATCAAACACGTTGGATTCCACTGACTTTTATGTACTTCTCTTTTGATTCGATTCTCTTTATTTGCGAACATAAAAAAACCTAAACAAATTAAACAAAAAAAATTAAAAAAAATAAATCCGACCTGCCGGATTCGAACCAGCGACCTAAGGATTACCTGCTCGGCTCAGCCCACTACAGTCCTCCGCTCTACCAACTGAGCTAAGGTCGGTTTGGAGTTTATCGAACAGCGGACAATATGAATTGAAAAAATGGAAAAAAAAAACTAGGCAAGTGTTCGCTTAAGGAATAAAACGGCGTCGCTTTGGGTATTCTAATGGCAGTAACCAAACCCTAAAGGCTATCATCTGCCCCAAAACTGCGCCTCGTCTCTTTCCCTTCTTTATTCACTTGAGCGGATCCAATGGTATGTTCTTCGATACATCTGATTTATCAGTCTTTTTTACACTAACAAAATAAAAGTAACTGTTTTTTTGGTTTGCTATTGCAGGCCCCAAAGAAAGAAAAGGCCCCTCCTCCTTCCTCCAAGCCGGCAAAGTCTGGAGGTGGCAAGCAGAAGAAAAAGGTCATTTTTTTTACTATATGTTTCTTTATATATCTATTTATTGGGTTGATTTTCTGCCTTTTAGGGTTAGATAAGAAGTGGGTTTCTATTTTTTTATTAACAGAAGTGGAGCAAGGGGAAGCAAAAGGAGAAGGTGAACAACATGGTGCTGTTTGACCAGGCAACCTATGACAAGCTTCTCACTGAAGCTCCTAAATACAAGCTCATCACTCCCTCTATTCTCTCTGATCGTTTGAGGGTACTTTTCATTTTAATCATTTGGTGTAGTTATATATTTCCCTTTTAGATGTAAATTTTTGTGTTCGATGATGTTTTGCCTTGCTCTTGCATTTGTGATACTATTGGATTTTTGTCTGGACGTGGAGTTCTAAGTTGTTTATTTGGTATATGTCTTGTTGCCGTGCACTGTTTATTGTCATAAATAAAATTATAAATGAAAATATGCTAGGACTTTTTAGTGTTGAATCTGTACTATTTAAACTTTAGCTATTGATTGCTACATGGATAGATGACTTTGGGTATCCTAGTTTGAAGCTGGATAATAAGATTTTTCAGGGATTTATCCAGGTGCTTGACTATTCCATTTGTGAATGGCTTGTAATATAGCTAAAAGGAATAGAATGGTATCTATCATAAAGGCAGATAAAAGCATTGAATGGCTATCTAAAGTTCCTTTGGCAGGAGCTCTTGTTGTCTGATTAATATATGTAGATGCTGTGTAAAACATTTTTCATGCAAAGTGTCTGTTTCTCTAATGTTTTTCGGATACACTTGTGGTATAGAGTTAGATGTTGGTCCTAAGTCAGGTGGCCATTCTTTTAGATATGTCTGCTTCTAGATGCATGCCTGAATTCTATTACATGAAAGCTGCATTTGCCTATTATGTCTAATATTGTTTTGTGTTCCCCTCGCAGATTAACGGATCACTTGCAAGGAAGGCTATAAGAGAATTGATGGCAAGAGGGTTGATTAGGTTGGTTTCTGCCCATTCGAGCCAGCAGATTTTCACTAGGGCAACAAACACCTAGATCTTTTGTTGTATTTTTTTCTTAATTAGTTCTATGTGGTATTGCCTTCGCTGAGTTTAACTTCTACAAATGATTTTTTTTTTATTTATCTAAGACCTCCCGTCAGCCACTTTGTTCTAGATTGTTTGTGCTGAATGTTTGAGCTACAGTCTCTTGTCATTATTGTTCTGGTTTAATGGATGGTTTTGAGACTTTGTTGGCATGCTTTTGGAAACGCCATTTTCTTAAATGAGTTATATGGTTATGGTCTTAAATGTCATATTGCATTTTTTTTTTTGTTTTGTTTTATGGATATTTGGGGAGGAAAATTGAGGCCGATAGAATGACAATTCTTTCTGGCTTAACAACTCTCAAAATTAAAAGCGTTAGTCTCCACGTGGTGGATTACCTTTTCAACTCTGTTCTGTTTTCCACACGTGGCCTGGTTTAGTTATTGACATTTGTCCAAATGCATGAAACTGAGAGAGAAACGGGAGAGGGAAAGAAACGGGCATAACTGAAACAACAAAGGCTGTGAACAGGATGACATAGTAGCCCAATCACGATGCAAGAAATGAAGAGAGCAGATTTGCGACAAGTAGGTGTAATGAAGAATACAGAACAGGCCACCACGGCTGATCACGTTGAAAACAACCCTGAAAAGGATTCTGCCAGTGCTCTTCAACTTTTTCTTGATCGCATCCCCATTAACAGTTCAATCCCTGGCATAAAAAACGCACCGGGTAATTCTTTTGCAACATATTATAGACAGTTGTTCTTTTCCAAATATGGTTCGAATCTAACTTGATCTCTTTTCTAGTTGCTACCCAATGTTGAGTATGATGTTTGTGTCTTTCTTTCTCATTTCAATATGCAAGTGTTTTAAAACTGGGATATGTGAATGCAATTGAGTTTATACGCAGAACGGTTGTCTCCATTCGAATGTTATAGCCCTGATATTCAAGGCAAGTTTTCCGATCGGTATATTGGTTTTATAGATTTTGCTGCCATGGTTCTCTGGTCCCTTGAGGTAATCTGGTTTCACACATTTCTTGAGTCATACTGTCGCAATGTATCCAAATGCATTTTTTCGTGTTATGCCCTTCTCAGAAATGTGAAAAAGCTCGTGTCCCAACTGATGGCCGTGTTAGTGAGAAGACTGGGGAAAGCAGCCTTTTGTCCTTTCTTGAACAGAATCCTGAAATTGGTCACACAAAGGTCTTTTTGCCTTTCTCTTGTTATTAATTACTGTTTACTTGGAACTGCAGAATTGTTTTCGCGAATAATACTAAGGGTGCCTGTGTTTTTGTTCTGTGTGAGACACAGGTAGGAGAGTTGGCCAAATCTTTCCTTTGGAATCCGTTTTTCCCTGTACGCTTAGAGGATACCCTCCTCCATGTTCTGCTGCTGCTTTCGAAGCACCGGCTACAAGTTCTGCCAGTCATCGAGCAATCAGATCTTCAGGTCATAGGTTTTGTTACACAGGTACTTTGAAGGCCACAAAACTGAGCTCCCTGAACTATATAATTGGGTAATAGGAATTAGGAAAAGCACAGAAACAGGTTGTTCACGGTATAGCAAATGTAACTCATTAAATTATTAAAAGGTTTTTTTCAGTAACTTGTTGGCTTTATGGTAGAGTGCAGTTATCCAACTGCTTCTTCAATCTGATGGGCTTGAGTGGTTTGATAGTGTTGCAGAGAAGTCTCTATCCGAATTTCGGTAGGGCAAACCTGAAAAATTCATCAGAATAAATCTTTCATTTTGAGAAATCATTACTTAGTTTCTATGTTACAATCATCTTGGTGTTTCGTTTCGTAATCAGGTTTGAAAATCAAGAGAGTGTAAGTTGTGTGTATGGTGATGAGAGCATAGCAGAGGCTCTTCACATCTTGTTTAAAAGTCAAATAGGTGCAATTGCAGTCATAGATAAGCAGACCCAAAGGCTTATTGGTAGTGTTAGGAGCAGTGATGTCTACCTTCTTATGGAGAATGAGAATCTCTTCCACAATAGAAAGTGAGTAATGTTTCCTTCCAATGCTACACTGCATTTTTTTTTTTGCCCCATTGACCTGTAAAACTTATGCATGTTTGACTATTTACAGGATTGTAACCGCGGAGGAATTCATTCATATGGAGACTAGCAATCCAGAGTGTGATCCTACTATTGAACGAAACACAGGAGCTCTTTTATCAGCAGGGGCTCTTCATCTACGAAAAAACTTTCTTCCAAGAATGGACTCGCCAGTCACCAACAAGAAAACTGACACTCTCAAGCAAGCCATGAAGAACGTAGCGGAGACTAAAAGCAATTTCAGTTTTCAGGTTGATGATTTGCTACGTCCACTAGGTGTCCTCACATTGAGAGACATAATCCTTCAGTTTGCACCGCCCTCTATGGACTCCAACATTGATGGAGGGGGTTTCTTTGAGTCTGTTCTCGAACAGACTGGTTGTCAGATCAAAGATGGAACCCTTGTTTGTGATCATTAATGCACTTACTTCTCTGCCTGATTCATGACAATTTAACTATAGTTTAATACAAGCTTCCAAGTCCAAGCATATTCAAGAGAACTTTTGCTAATTCATCTTGTTTTCTTAATGGAGAAAGAGAAAGCAATAAAGTAGGGGCAGAGGAGACAGAATTACAATCACTTATGCAAACAAAATGATAATTGGTTGTGGTTGGAGTCTGTAATGCTTAGCTGAAAAACAAACCAAAATGTATAGCACAAAAAAAGTTCTACGTTCCCTTCGCCAAGGGCAAGGCACAAAGTCAAGGTTTCCTCTCATCAACAAATGGCACCTACCAACAGAACTGGTATCACCTAATGCGTCACTTTGTTTTTCCCACCATGAATGATTTTAGCTAGAATTAGCTCAAAATCCTCTTAAGTGTTCCAAACTATCAACGACCCATTTCTTCTAAATTCACAAGGATGAAAACCGCTTATGGCTCTCCCCATCAGAGCCATAGCTGCAATGCTTGGAAACTGCTTCCTTTGGAGTTCATCCGATGTTGCCTTTGAACTCTGTGGTTCACATGGCACCGCAGCATCAAGCTTCTTGTTTGGAGACATAGCTTTGTGACGACACCATCTGTGAATCCAAGAACGTGAAAGATATATTTCTTGACTTTTCCTCACTGAATCACCGGAAGTGGAGTCACCGTTCTTTAATTGTGTTGCAGTTTGATCAAAGGCCAGTTGTGGTCCCACATGGCTTCTAGCTATTGTGGGTTCGGAACTAGTTTTGCAGAATATCTTGTTAACCTTTTCACAGGATGAAACTTCTTCAATTTTAGAGCTCTTAGTACCATGAGCAAAAGGATCTGAAGTGCTCAACTTGAGACGTTTAATCCATCTGCTACTTGGCTCTGGTTCCAGAGGACTATCCGGACAAGCAGCGGTATTGAAATTTGAGGGTGGCTTAACATGGCAAAGGAGATGCTCCGCATCTAAACTCTGGGTTCTTGAGGTACTTGTCTCTCCATCATCTATTGAGTTTGCTACAGCTGGAAGTGCAGGAAGCCCTTCATTCATATCAGGTAATTCAGTGTTGACCATTTTATTCCCAGCTTCTTCTCCGGTAGCATTCTCAGTTTCAGGTAATGATGAATTATGAACTCCTTTGATGTTCTGCAAAATTAGCAAGTAGTTATGAGTAATGTTAACAGCTCAATATGATGATGTAGACTCTCCATATAGAAATTAGATGCAATTCTGGCATGCTATGCTCTCTAGAATCCAATGATGCTTGGAACCAATGGCTGGATGATACAGCAATCAGTTAACTTAGAATGTAAACCAAACAAGTAATCATAAAAAAACTACCATTACCTTAAAGCCATACCCGATCTGATTAAATATCTTATCATTAACATAGCAAAATAGAAAATGGCAAGAATTACCTGATCTGACGGACATAAAGCCACACCTGCAACATAAAGTAAGCTTATTAAATATGAACATGCAATACTGAAAGATCAAGTAAATATAAAGTTAACAGAGCCCACAGATATTTCTAACTGTAACTCTCTGATCAGTCTGATGTGAAATTTTATAATATACAGATCCATTAGGTAACATAAATACATACTTGAAAGGTGGCTCTTCTGGAAAACATCCAATTCCATAGCATCAGTTTCAACTGATGATTCATTCTTTAAACAAACAGAAGAAGTTCTGACATCTCCAGCATTATCTTTTCCTTCACCATCTGTGGAGCTCTCTATAGGTTGCAGTTTCACCCCTTGCTGACCATGGAAACTGATATTGGGGGATAAGCTCAGGAACTCATTGAATATATTTCCCTTCAATTTGGGGGAGACTATGGCATCTCTGAACACTTGTCCTCCTTCAGTTAAGTTAACACCAGTCTTCTTCGTAATAAAAAATTGGTGAGTTGTCTGAGAAAACTTGGAAGGGCCTTTGGGTAATTCTTCCGCAGAATCTATAGTGGTACATATTCTCATCGTCTTGCCATTATGAACAGAATGAGGTATTCTTGGCAGCAAGAAATATTCATCATATGCTTTTTCTGATTTCATTGCCTCAGGACAGCCCAAGCTTGGAAGTAATCTAATATTAGAATTATTTTCCACCTTCTGACTATGTTTATTAAGAAAAGAGTGTATCTGACTATTGTTTGTTGACCGATCATGAAGTAATAGAGGTGCATCATTCTGCCTAGATAATGAACTCCCCAGTTTTCTGGACTTGAAAAGGGCATCAGCTTTCTTCCGATGGACCCAAGAGGTAGAATAGCTGCAAAATTTAGAATCCATGAAGTGCTCTTTGGATGCTACAACAGGGCTTGATTGAGCAATGTGTTCAAGTTGACATGTGAAGGATTGAGCTGGAGACACAGCTACGCTGTGTTCTTCAAGAAATTCTTGAGATTTCACCAGCTGCTCAGGAACCTGTGAAATGTCTTCAGGCTGAAATTTACGTTCTCTAGAAGGACATTCCATTTCAGGATAAGCCCACTCACTTCTACCCATATTAATAATAGAGTTATTGCCATCATTGAGGTCGATTTGATACTTCACTGCCTCACCACTAGATGAAGTACTCGCATTATTCTTTGAAGACACAGCACTCTCCCTATTCCCTGAATTGATGAACATCAGAAGGGGCTGCCCGTCTAAGATATCTTTCCCCAACTTCATTGAACCCGTTCTCAGACTCTTCTTCATGGTGTCAACTGTTTTGGCTTCAGAAACTTCTTTAAATCGTTCAGTGTATTTCGAAGTATTGGTTGCCATTTCAGACCCAGAAAGCAAAGGATGCTGCTTGGAATCGTGATGGTCATCCTTTTTTTGTCCACGACAATGCAGTAAATGATTGTGAACCTCAGTGGATGGTTTATGACTTGTATGCTTCCAATGATCCATCCAAGCAGCTTGGTAATGATTCATAGATCGCCTAGCTGTTCCATCACTATCGGGATCTGATTTTGCAACATGATCAGACATGATGATCAAATTCTACTTCAATTAGAGATGAATCCGTCTCAAGGGCTCATTCTACCTTACCTGAAATGCAATTCAGCAAGCACCATCAGACATAATATCTATTAGGTTTCAGAACAAAATTACAAGAAATCAGAAATAAAAACAATCAAAACATAGTGCTCATACGGCCAGCATATAGAGTATACAAAATTAAGGATTAGCAAAACATATGCATAACCAATTATTTTTGCACACATCCAACAGTCCTTTCTCCATGGACTAATTTGTAAGGATTTCTGAAAGTTTAGCTTTGGCATTGCCCCTGTGCTTGATAGACATTCTCAGTAAGCCAGAAATGAAAAATTAAATGGGGAAGCGCAGAAGTGAAAGAAGCACAACGATGTTCCCAATTCCTATAATCAGCTTCCTATAGCTAACCAAATCAAAGAAAAAAAAAACTAACAAATGCAAAAAAAATTTTACATTAAGTTGCCAAGTATTTAGAAAGCAATATTTTAGGACAAATAATGTCCATCAAGCTGGGATCCACAAAAGTGTGAATTGGAAACCTTAAACTTGAAGCAGCCAAAAGCTTTTTAGATTGCACCAAACCCTTCCTATATTTTGGTTAAAAAAAAACCCTTCAACATAAAGAACAAGAAAACAGAACAAAAAGACCTACTTTTTTTTTCTTTTATCACTACCAATAAAACGAGCTCTACTGTTCAGTAAGCAACATTAGAATCACAATCATAAACAGAGAGTGAAGGGAGGGGACAAAAAAGAAAAGAACTTGAAACGAAAGAACTAAATCAAATAACCAAGCTCCATGCATCGATCAAACAACAACAGAACAAGCTGAAAATTCACATTCATACATACTAAAATAAGAAGCTATAAAGAAAGCAAGAAATGGGTATAGCAAAAACACAATCAAAATTAAGTTCAGCCTTGTCAGGGCTCACCTCAAGACTGAAAGTAAAAGAGCAAGCAAAAAGAGCAACAGTGAAACCAAACAAAAGAGCAACAGTGAAACACAGATCCAGGGAGAAGTTGAGTTCACAAATGAAGAAATAAACAAGAGAGAATATCTTTGGTTAAATAGGGAAACAAATGAGGATTTGTGGAGAGGAAAGGATGTATCTGGTGAAGTTAGAAACAGAAAGAAAGGAAAGAACATAAAAATTAAAAAAAAAAAATAGTACCTTAAGAAGCCGAGAAGCCAGATTTTGTAGATCTGGAGCGACGAAATATGGGAGCTGAAAACATTGAAGGGACCCACTACCTTGCACTTTTCCTATTGGTCTCCTTACCTTTTTTTTTTAAATTGTTTTTCTTTTTTTTCTTAAGCTTTTTTTTTTACTTCTCTATTTTTTTTATTTTAAAGTTAATGTAATGAATTATCTTATATTATTAATGTAATATTTAAATTTTAAAATATCTATTTGAACTATAAATTTATTTATTAACTAGATATTTAGAAAATTAATTATTTCATATATGTTATCATTTAAAATTAATTGTATTAAAAATAAATATCATATTAATTATTAATTTATAATTCAAATATCATTAGATATTTTTAAAATTAAGATATCATATTAAATATTTTATTATTATTTAAGATCATTCACGATATTAATTAATTATTTTATTTTATTTTATGATTATTTTATTTTTATTCATAAACACAACAAAATAAAAATGTTTTATAGTCATTTGGTTTTGATTTTTTTTTTTGTTTTGATTAATATGTAGGATAGTCCTTGTACCCAAAGTATTTTTGATTAATATATTTTTTATCACTTTGATACTTAAAAATATAAATTATTTATTTGATACTTCAATTTTTATTTCATCATATGCTTTAATATTTTTTTATTATCATTAATTAAATAACTAATATAATATAAATATCTAATAAATTTATTATAAATATTTAATAATTGCCACATTAACTATTGATACGTTAGCAAAAACTTTATAAAAATAAAAATAAAAAAAATTATTTTTTAAATTAAAATGTAAGAAAAAGATAAGAGAGAGAAGAAAGCAAACCAGATCAACGTCGATCCACCTAGAATAGAACAAATTGATCTCCACTTAACCTAAAATCGATCAACGGTATCGTCCTTGCCTTATCCTCCCTCCTCTCTCTCTACCCCTTCTTCCTTCCCTTTCCTATTTCTTTGATTTATTTTCTCTTTTTTATTTTATTTTAAATTAAAAAATATTTTTTTAAATTTAAAATTTTAATTAAATATTAAAGTAAAAAATAAATTATATGATAATAATTAAATATTTATATTATATGTTATATTATATGTTATAATTTTATTTGATATTAATGTCACGTAAATAATTTAATAGTATTAATTAAAAACTATCAAAATATTTTATAGAATGAATATTTGAATATTAAAATAATAATTTTATTTTTTAAAATATCAAATTAATAAAAAAAATATTTTTTAAGTATAAAATTAACAGAAAATGTACAATATAAAGTGCATTTTTATATTAACCCATTTCTTTTTTTTTTTTACATAAATTGATGAAATTCAATTTTTTTAGATATTTTAAATTTAATAATAATGACATAAAAGCACACACATTAACAATAAATGAGACTTTTAGTGAAATTTATGTGAAACACCCCTTTTTTCCTGGGGTAAAAACTTTATTGGCTCTTGGGAATTTTGAATGGATAAAGTTGGAGCAATTCCTGTCGGATTAATTTCACCGGCAGCATCCTTGTCTTTTGTACGTTGTCGGGTCCTAGAAAATATCTTTTTCCCCTCCATAATATCTTCACTTGTTGAGAACCAATCCGTTGCCTTCTCCCCTTAAAAATGGAAAAAAAAATTGTAAACTCGTTAATAAAAATTTCAGTTAAATACTTCATTTTGCAATTTTTTTAGCATTATGATTTATTTATATCATTAAAAGGTTAATAGAGAACAAATTAATTCTCATAAAAAATAATCCAATTGGTTAAAAGAGATTTTTTAAATTATTTTTTTATAATTGAAGTTGCGAATGAATGAAATGTGATTCTTGAAATTAATGTTTTGCTTGATGTGAAAAATTAAAAAAAAAGGGTAAAATTGAAATTTTATTAATCCAATAGATATGTTTTGTAATCACTTTCTACTTAATAATTTAATAATGGAAATAATAAAATTTTCATTTTTTACTTTTTGTTTGTTATCTTTTATATCCACTAAAATTTAATAATATCATTATTTATTAATAGATCACTTTATTATTTTATGAAGAATATTTTAAAACTAAAATCTTGAAGAATTTGACAGATGTGAAGAAGTTAATTTTTACAATTATTAAAAAATAAAAAAATTAATCAAAGATTATTAAGAGTGATAATGATTTAAATCGGATCGAATTTAATTTTTTTCGATATTGTAATAATATTATGAAATTTTGAAATTAAATTTGAATTGAACCAAGATTTACAAGCTCAATTCAATTTAGCAATTTTAAAAATTAAATTTAAAATTTTTTTATTATATATATTATATTAATAAATTTTTTTAATATATTTAAGTACATTTTAATACAAAATTTTTATTTTTATTTTATAAAAATTAAAAAAATATAACTATATTTGATTTGTTTTTTTTAATTTTTACATTTTGATTTGAATTTCAATTTGAATTTAATATATATATTTAATATCTAAATTTTATTCCAATCAAACAATAAAATAATCAATTCGAAATGAACCTAATACTATAATTTTAAATTAATTTTTTATTTTTTTCACTTTTAAAGATTATGGACATAATTGATAATACTAAAAAATAATTACAAGTTTAATAATTAATGCTTAACTTTTCATAAAATAGAGTCTACTTGATTACTATATATTTGAAATGTATATTTTCTATTAAAGAAAAAAGAAAAATCCATTTAATATTTTTCTTTGTTTCCTCAAAAATAAAATAAAGGAAAAGAAAAAGGAGCCGCTGACTATGATTCAAGGTGCAGCGAGGCTCGCAAGGTTGAACGGAAAAGCAGTCAGACAATTGTGGCTGAGTCGGCTGGATGGAAAGTTGAGCCGAGGCTATGCTGAGCTGGAGAGCTTAAAAAAAACAAAAAAAGGGAAAACGGCTTTCATTTCAGATTTTGAGTACATCGTCGTTGTAGAGTTGAACTGCCACGCAACATATCCCAACACCATGCAAATAAAGATTTGGCTATCCCTTGTCCACGTCATCATTGGACAAATCCACTCATCCCAATATTAAACAATGCTAAGTGGATGACAGTTTAAATCTTAGATGAACCAGATTTATTTGTTTGTCGTTAGTTAGTTGGTATTGTCCGAATATTTATTTTTAAATTTTATTGTTATCAATAATTTTTTTAATGGATAATTTATAAATTTAATATAATTTTTTATTTTTTATTAAATTTTTTTTTTGAGTTTCAATTATATAAACAATAAAATATGTTATATAAGATAAGAAAAAAGGAAGGAAGCTTTCCCTTCAAATGGGTATTGTTGAGCTATTTTTTTTATAAATATAGGTATAAACTTTGGTCATTGTATTATATCCATGCGAGAATTATGATGCCTTTTAGATCATATCAAGAGAAAACATAATTTATGTTGAAAATTAATAACATATCGACTTAATTAAAAATATATATTTGTAATTAAGATAAGTTAAATTCAGATTTTCTATATGTAAAATAAAAAAAAAGGCAGTCCAAGTTATTGAACATTACAAATAATTAATTCCATATTTGACCAACTCGTTGTTATGTTGTAATTTTGGTGAAGGATAAAAATAGTTTTCAGTTTTTTTTTTAAATTATAAAAAAATTAATTTATATTAAAATAAAATTGTAATATTCAATTAATAAATTGAATGCCGACAGCTTTCATTTCTAATATTGAAATGGTCAATTGGCCACTAATCTATTAATCGATTGGGTCAAGGGGGCCTTCCAGCCAACTGAACATGTTGGCAAGTCAAATTTGGATTTCTTTTGAAAAGCCAACTACGGGGCCGGGCAACTCCAACGACGTTACGTCATTTAGTAGCCGAGCCGAAGGCGGTGAACCAGCCCGCCCATCCGCAAATTTGTTGCCCTCGAGTCGGGATGATTAGTATGCCATTGAGAATATTCGATGGCTTTTGTCCCAAACGGCTTGAATCAAATTTTAAATGTTGGGAATTCGAGAGAATTTAGATGTAATATTATTTTTGATTAAATTAAAATTTTTTGAAGTAACAAATCTTAACAAAATTACCAAAACAAAACATTGGCAAAGACCGCGGCAAAAAAGAAAAAATTACAGCTCCGTGTTTTCAACTATTGTACTGCTCAAGCCGATTCACTGTCGGTAAAACAGAAAGCCGACCTAATTTCTCAAAACGGTAAAAATGAAAAAAAAAAGTACAAAAGTGAAAATATCTATAAAAATATTAAAAAAAAAAAACCAATGTCCAAATAGATCTGCGCGTATCTCGCTTCCTTTTGTCCAAAATTTATCGGGAGCCCATAGCTTAACAACGGAGACGCCTTTGAGGTCAGCCTTTTTCTACTTCAAAAGTTCCATCTTTAAAAGCATATATATATTTTTTAGTTTTGTATTGGTTGTTATTTCTAAAGATCTCAACTTGTTTCTTAAGCATTCAGTCAATTTTTTTTTATGTTAATTGCGGATTATTTTTTTCTTTCAACGATTTTATGCTATTTAAATCTAGGGTTTTGATTGTTTTGGATCTGGGTTTTCAAAGCTTACTTATTTTGATAAGCACTAGGTTCTTATTTGGTTATTGAGAAAGCTGAGGGGAAGTTTTGGGATCTCATGTTCTTTTGGTATCTTTGGGTTTTTTGTGGTGGTTGATTGATTAATTGTTGCGTTTAGTTGATAGGGTGTTTGGCTTTATCTCTGTTACCAGATTCTGGGCGTGAAGTTTTTATGCATTTTCTTGGTAAACGAACATAGCATTAGGGTTTTCTCTACATTGGATTCATTGATTGAAATGACTAGCTATTTTGCTTTAGCTTTTGTTGCACATGGTCAGACGTGGTGGTGTCTGATGATTTGCAGCTATTAGTGTTTAAATTGATTGAGTGTTTAATAAGGTATTGAGTTAATGAGGGTTTACTTATAACTATGATGTTTTTGGGGAATTTAATGAACCTTTGTGCTTAATATTATTGGATTCTTCTCTTATGATGTAGGATTTGAATCTAATATTGAATGGAGGGAATTGGAGGCGACGGTGCATCAGTGGCATCACCTTTGCCTCAATGGGGGTATGACGCTTGGAGGATGTATCAGTATTATCTGGATAAGACTACGCCTCATGCAACGTATAGGTGGATTGGAACCCTGGTTATAGCGGCTATCTACTGTTTGCGGGTCTATTATGTTCAAGGGTTTTACATTGTTTCATATGGCCTTGGGATCTACCTGCTGAATTTGCTAATAGGATTTTTGTCTCCTCTGGTTGATCCTGAACTTGAAGTTTCTGATGGGCCTTTACTGCCAACAAAAGGTTCAGATGAATTCAAGCCGTTTATTCGTAGGCTACCTGAGTTTAAGTTCTGGTAATTAAAAATTTATCTTTCCCTTCTGATCTGTAATGATTCTTTTTATGTTACAGAAACAATTTATTGTGGTGTTTGTTCCTTTTTGTGTTCTGTGCCAAAATCTTTGTGATATGGTTTGCTAAGGGAAACAATCTACTCAAGGTTTATAGACCTTTGTTAGGCCAAGTCAAAAACACAGTCTGATTTTGAGATGGATAGAAACGTGACCTTTCTTATTTAGCAAAAAAAGAAAAGATATGTGGAAACATGTGATGGCCGGTTACTGGTGTGATCTTTTATGCCTTTTCATCATTGATGAAACTTGGGGATTATTAGTGCATAATTTAAGATTTTAAGATGACTTACTTTATTGCGGGTATGATGATAGTAGCATTGTATTTAATTGAAATTAAGGTCTTAGTTATTGTTTTTTTCTGTTTGACTTTTAAATCTCTTGATGGAGTTAAAAAATATTATAAAGAAAGCTCTGGTATGTAACTTTCTTTCCTGTCTTAACCTATTGTAATGTCATAAAAATTTCTTGGACATAAACTTATCTCTAAGATTCAGACCTTTTTCATTTTACATGGTGTCTCTTTGGCACGCTTGCTGAATCAGGGCTCAACAATTCTAGCAATATTTTCTAACAATTTTGCATTACATGCACAAGTGACAATGAGCAGCAACTGTGTTCTGGTTCAAGTTTCTGATTCTGGAAATGTAGGAGAATATGCTTGAAAACATTTGCTATTATCTGTCAATTTCATTAGCCATTACCTTGCAATTGTCAATTACTCAAATCTCTTGCATTTCACTGTTTCTCTAGTTTATAGAATCTTTTTTCTAAACAATTACAGCTTAGAAAAGTATTTCTTTTCCTAGCATAGAAATGCGAAACTAGTTCTGAGTGGACCTATGTCATCATTTCCCATAGTCAGTCATATTTCTTCATCCATTTGGAAGTTTATTGTCTTGCTTGCGAGCCGTATGAATTTGTGCTTGATGAATGGGTATTTAAGTATGGATATAATGCTTCTGCTTAATGATTTTTGCAGGTACTCCATGACAAAGGCTTTCTGCATGGCATTTGTGATGACTTTCTTTTTCGTATTTGATGTTCCTGTCTTTTGGCCTATATTACTTTGTTATTGGATTGTTCTCTTTGTCCTTACAATGAGGCGTCAGATTGCACACATGATCAAATATAAGTATATCCCATTAAACATCGGAAAGCAGGTCAGCTTCAATGAAAAAAAAGATTTCTGCTTTTGTAACTGCAACTATATCGGTTGCTTGTATTTTTAATTACTAGTGGCAATGGGGAAGTCTCTTAACATTTGTCTGCTTCAAAGATAACAGTCTTCTTCTCTCTTTTACAGAAGTACACGGGTAAGAAACCTTCTGCAAATAGCAGTGGCTTTCGTGCGGATTGAACATTGAAGCTTGGCTGGTTCACAGGGGAAGTGGTAAAAGGATCTGGTGGGAAAAGGACAAGTAGAATTCCGATGATGATTCATGATAATTGATTTTCACCTTTGGACGAGATGCATTTCTGTTGTTGTGGATTTTTAATATGCAGTTACTACAAACATTAAGTTCAGTTGTCCCTGTAAAGAAGTGCTTACATCCCAGAATTGAAACTTTATTGTTTAATACGCATGGTGATGAAGATTTGATCAAAGAATTTTTTTTTTTTTTTAGATTATTGGCAAGTTATTTGTACAACAAACTATTGTTTCACTCTTGTCCTCTTCTATATTAGTAGCTAATTGTTAGTGACAAGACCAAATTTCTTATCAGGAGCCATCAGTGGCAGATTGTAGGCGTTATTTTTTTATAATTTTCTTTTTGTTCTCGATGGGTGCAAGGGCAAAACTGCTGTAGTTCCTTAAAAGCATTGCACGTTTATACAAAATTTGTAGCCTGTTTTTCTTCAAAACGAATTGAATAGAGATAAGTTTGTGACCGTCAGCCTAGTGTGAACCGTAAACTGCAGGTGCTTGGACGTGTGTTTCCAAGAGAATGATTCATGGAGTGGAAGAACCTGGGATGCTTATGCTTGTAATTTTTATTTTGAGTATTTGAGGACGCAGGGGTTGAATCCTTGTTTGATTATCATTAATATTTTCCGTTCTAAAGGAGAACTAATCTAACGAATTTACAATGTTTTGTTTGTGTATTGTAATTCCGAAAGAAAAACATTTGAACAAAAACAGGTCTCGAATGTCCATGGACTACAGCCTAAAGGTAAAGATCCAAGAAGTGAACAGCAAAACCCTAAACCCAGAGAATTGGTTTATGTTTATTTATTAAGATATAAATAATCCCAAGACCCTCGACCCATTTTCCTTTCTTCTTGTCCCTGCAGCTCGACATTGGGTTCGATTGAAGGAAGGATATGGGTAAAGTGAAAGGAAAGCATAGGTTAAGACAAGTACTAGTACTACCAACTAGCCAAGGAACATGGTCTCCAGAGCATCATGGAAGCTAGTTCAACTCGATTCCGAATTCTCCTTCCTAAATTCAGCCCACGTCGTCCTCAATCTCTGCGCCGCCCCCGGCGGTTGGATGCAAGTCCAAGGTTAAACGGGTCATGGAAGAGCATGGGGCAAGGCCTTATGATGTGGTTTTGCATGATGGGTCCCCTAATGTTGGTGGAGCCTGGCTCAGGAGGCAATGAGCCGAAATGCTTTGGTTCTTGATTCTGGTAAGCTGGCTATCCAGTTCTTGGCTCCTAAAAGCACTTTTATTACAAAGGTTGTCAGGTGCCAAGACTACAGTTCTGTTCTCTATTGTCCCAAGCAGGTGATTATTTTCTTCATCTAATCTAACTCTAATCTAATATATATATATATATATAACAAACAAATTTATCACATGAACGTATATGTTGATAACTCTCTTAAATGACATATAAGATAATTTTTTTTAAAAATAAAATAATTTTTTTAATTATAAATTTGATAATTTTAAATTTATTCAAATATAAAATTAAATTATAATTTAAAATCAAATCAATTTAGAGATATATTTTTAAAATTAAAAATATGAAATATATTTTTTTAATACATAATTTTAGTTGTTTATCAAATAATCTTATTTAAAAAATTATTTAACTATTAAAATCTTTCAAACATGTTTAAAAATTATAAAGATTAAGTTTATCCAAATCTTTTAACAATTTTTTTACCTTGATTTAAAATTTATTTTTTAAAAAATTTAGGTAAGATATTAAAAATTCAAGTAACTTTATGTAAGATTTTGAAAATTCAAAAAATTTTCATCTTAAATTTTTAAATAATAAAATTATCAAAACGATTATATCCATTTTAACTCTAATTATCAAATTTATATTTCAAATAAATGTAAAAAATTTAATATTATCTTTATCACTTATTATATCAATTTCAAATTTAAAAAATTAATTTAAAAATTATCTATCTAATCTTAATTACCACTAAAAAATTCTTTTATAAATGTAAGACTTCAAATGTAATGTGTAATACATCAATTTTTTTATTTTTTCAATAACTTTTTTTAAGGTATATTTTATTACTATTGTAATTTTTTTTATAACTTTTTTCCAAAATTATTTTATTGTTATTACAGTTTCATTCTTATGAAAAATAATTTTTTTAATTTATTTTTTTTCCCATATTTTTTTAACATTTTTCATATTTTGCATAATAATTTAATGAAGATTACTAAAGTGAAAATATGTTAATACTTCTTTTATTATTTAATTTATCATTCAATAATATTATTATTTATTTTTTAAAAAATGAATAATTTATTTTTATTTGATATAATCTTACAAGTGTATAAATATTATTGTAAACAAAAATATCTAAAAGAAAGATATAATTTTTTCGCTATTTTTTGAAAGTTTATTTTTTAATAATAGTTCATATATATAAATTTTATATATATTATAAGTTTTAAATATTTAAATATAATATGAAAAGAAACTAATATATAAATTATTTCTTGTATAGTACGAGTTATAATCTTTTTTTTTTTAAGATATGTCAATATCTGTGTAAATTTTTATTCTTCCTTGACATGTGGATTTGGTTTGCAGTTATTTCAGTAGGCTGAGTTGGATAAACCGGCAACTAATCGTTCAGCATCAGCTCAAATTTATGTTTTGGGCCTGAGGTATAAAGCCCCTCCAAGGATTGATCCACGTCTTCTTGATGTCAAGCATCTGTTTCAGGGTTCTATAGAATCACAGAAGAAAGTTTTTATTTTTATTTTAAGTTTCAAAGTCTCTTAAAGGACTACTTTTTCCTTTGATTGTGTCTCTGCTAATCATGTTCTTTCCGACAAATACTTGATGTAGGTGATGGATGTACTTAGGGTAACAAAACAAAAGAGACACCGTGATGGGTAAGCTTTCCCCTTTACCATACAGCTATGTGAACTAAATAAAATGAGTTTCCAATGCCAAGTCAGATAAAAAAGTTATGATTGAACATGTTAATAGTATGCACAAGAAAATTAGAACTGTTTCGATAAATATTTCGAGTGTGTCAGACAAGTTTCACATTGTTATTGGTGCCTGTGGATATTGTTTCAAGGGGGATCTACGTTGTGCTTTGTTGCTAACTATGTTCCAGTTACAGTTATGAAGATGGAGAGACAATCTCGAAGAAGGTGTCTACAGCTGCTGACTTCATTTGGTCTGATTCTTCTCTTGGATTCCTTTGTTCAGTTACGTCCATAACCTCTGAGGATCCAGCTTCATTGCCTATTAGGGATCACAGTTCTACCACAGAAAAGGTGATTTTATTATTGCTTTTGTTTGCCTTGCCTTCAATCCTTCTAAGTTTGATTACTTACTTTGCTGCTGTCTTGACAGGTCAAAGCCCTTTGTGATGATTTGTGTGTTTTGGGAAAGCAAGTTTTCAAGTACCTTTTGAAGTAAGAAACACATTTCCTTTCAGAAGCCCCCTTTTGAAATGTTTCTAAACAAATTGTGATGGCATGAAAATTTGTGGAAGTCAAGCTTTAATTGTTGCACTTGGAGCTTGATTTGAATTGCATTCATTCATCTGGTGAAAAGAAAAAGTTACATTTGTGTGAACAAATGTGACATGTATTACATGGTACCATCCTTTGATTTGATGTTTTCGTGTTTATTTGTCATGTAGGTGGCTGATGCAATTGAGAAAAGCTTTGTCACCTTCAGAAAAGGCTACTTCTTCTACGACTGCCAGAGAAGTTGATAAAGGGGATGGGGAGAACGAAGATCATAAATTACTCAATGAAATGGAGGAGCTCACATATGCTATAGAACGTAAGAAGAAAAGAGCAAAGAAGCTTCTAGCAAAAAGACGAGCAAATATTTATTGCCTTGTTAAAAAATCTGTGGTTCCTAATTTGATGTCTTAGTGCACTTTGCTGCATAATAAAATCAGGAAATGGAACAATATGATTATACCAATGTTTTTGTATCTACATAATAGTAACTAAAAATTATGCCTGCTTATCTTTTTTTTTTGGAAAACTTAAGCATTCATCTTATAGATTTGGTATTAATGTTTCAGATACCCACGTTGTTCTGCGTTAATCTTTCTGTTGGATAGGATGTTGCCATGCACACTTATTTAGTTGCTGATTTCTTGCCTCACTGTTTTGCACGATGAATCACGGAAGGCAACAGGAATACAAATAGATGCCCTGGAAGATGGTTTTACTGATCATGAGTTGTTTTATCTTTCTTCCATCAAGGTTTGCTTTTGATCACTAAGACTTCAAATTAGAAAACCCCAATGTTTAATCCATATCTAATAAAAATTCAATATATTAAACGCAAATCTAAAAAGACAAATAAAAGAAAATTGGACTTAACACTGCAGTTATGTCATTTGAACCGAAGGCGTAGTTTGACATTTTAACTTTCCAAGACCCTTTATTATGGGCTAAACCATGGCATACTCTGATGTTTAACCTTATTGGCTATTAATATGCTGTTTCTGAACCATAGGCAGGCTTTCATCTTAAAATATTTTCCAGTTATGCATTGGCATCTCTCTGTTTGTTAACGGAAATGGTGCTTGTGCGGCTTTACTGTGCAAGACAATTTGTCATGATGAAATAAAACCTTCTTCTGTTGTCTGGAAAAGTGGGAGATCTTTGAATGAAGCCACCGCTATCCTTCATATTTTCCTCTTAAACTGTTGCTTATGGCATTCATGCTCTGGTATTTCCCGAAAAATTGACTAGGGTTTTCATTTAAACTTTTTCCTTTGGCGAAAGTTTTGTTGATGATAGCCTGTTACTGCCTTTAGGGTAAGAAAGATCTTGTGGCAGTTAACTCCACTGAGTATGATGATGGGAATAGTGACTTAAGAGTTAGCGAAGATGAAGAAAACCAAGATAAAACTGAAGATGAGTCATGCAGTGATATTGATTCTGACGAAGACGCAGAAGGTTGTTTGCCTTGCTTCTGAGTTAGGACTTAGATTTATTTGTGCAATATATAATTTCCAAGATTCTCTGCATGTAAATTAATCTTGTAATTTTGATGCTAGATATGATGAACAGATTGAAGAGATACTTGACCATGCTTATGAACAGTACGTGTCCAAAAAGGATGGAGGCACGAAGCAGAGGAAGTGTGCAAAACAAGCCTATTCCGACCAATTGGAGGTATGAAAGTCTAATAGTGTGTATACTACTGTGCAAGTGAACACATCAGCTTGATCTTTCTCACAACTTGAACTAACAAGAATAATGTGTAATCTTTTCTTTATTTGTCTGAAATTAAGTTGTCTCACATTTTAAAATAATTCCATATCCCCATGTTTGTTCAGTTTCTGATTTGCAAGACCTTGTTCTATGTTATTCACACCTTCCCTCCACCTACTCTTCTACTCTGCATGCCTAGGTTGCTCCATCTAGTACTATCATTTCTTCCACCATGCTGCCTTGCATCATTCTTTCTTATTTATGTTGTTAATACACAGAATGGTGAATGGTTGATTTTAAAAGCTGGAAAAATTATTACTGATCAGATTGAATTTCTCTTCTGGGCTGTGCAGGGTGGTGATGGTGATGATATCATTCTTTCGGATCATGTTTCAGACAAGGACAAGGCTGATCCTGAAGCAAATCCTCTCATGGTACCACTGGATGATGGGTAAGGACCAACTCAGGAGGAGATTACAAACAGGTGGTTTGGTCAGGATATTTTTGCAGAAGCTGTAGAGCAGGGAGATTTACGGAAGTATGACAGTGATGATGAAATGGAGGTTGATAACCAAAAGGAAAGGCCACCTATTCCTGAGAAGGCCAAAGTAAAGAAAAGGCAGGATGAAAGACCTTCTATCACTGACCAGGCCAAGTAAAAGAAAACAAAAAATGCTGCAGGCCCCGATCGCAAGGTTTCAAAGGCAGCGGATGATTTTGAGATTGTCCCTACTACAGCTATAGATTCAAGTGATGACTCCTCTTCAGATGACTCAGAGGATGAATATGTTGATACAAAAGATGAGATATTGGCTTATGGGAAGAAAATGCTCAGGAAAAAGCAAAGGGAGCAAATTCTTGATGATGCCTGTAATAAGTATATGTTCGATGATGAAGGCTTACCCAAGTGGTTCTTGGAGGAGGAGAGGAAACACCGCCAACTAATTAACCTGTTACAAAATAAGAGATTGCTGCAATGCGAACACAATTCAAAGAGATCAATGCTCGTCCTCCTAAGAAAGTCGCAAAGGCAAAGGCTGGAAAGAGTGGGTAGCAACTAGAAAGCTTGAGACAGAAAGGAAACAGTATATCATACCAAACCGACATCTCGGATCGGTCAAAGAAGAGAACAACTATACAAGAAGCCTACAACCAAAATTTACAAAAAAGAATATGCGATTGCGAAGAACGGTAGGCTGACAATGGGAAAGTCCTTGTCATTCATAAATCAGCAAGAAGCAATAAAAAGGTTATCTGTATCCCTGGTAGACTTGCAGCTGCAGTTGCTTCCTCCATTTGTTGTTCGTTTTCTCTATATTCTTGGTCGTCCTAGTTGCAATCTGTATGTACAAGTAAATCTTGAGTGCATAAAAACAATGATGAAAAATTATGAACATACTTCTGAGTTAATTACCAGAAGGAAAATAGAAATGACCCAAGTAGAATTTACAACCAATCCGCCACTACCATTGCCTGAAAAATTATTATTGTGCCAACTAAATTTTGAAAGTTTTGAGCCTCACTTGATTTTGCTGGTTGTGGGCGACCGTCTGATCTTAGTGGAGCCTGGCTTGGTGTTTAGCGCCCAGCTGAAACCCGAACCAAGTTTCATTGGCATTTTCATAATTAGGCTTAAGGTTCCATCTATAAAATAAAGCAAGGTCCAAAAACCCTAATTGGGAATCTTGGTGGTTGGCTTCGAAGTCAGATCTCTTAGAATTTCCTCTGCTTCAAATTAAAAACCCTATTTATCTTTTTTATTTTCTGAGTATGAATCTGGCAATTTTTTAGCAGGGTTACAATAAGAAAGAGAAGGTGCGATGATGAGTATAGAATATTAAATCTCGTTAATCTGATTCCTAACATGAGGATGAACTCTTTCATCCATTTTAAACATCTTCTGAGCCTCTTCTCTTTTTTATTGTTTTCGTCAAAAAGAAATCATTTTTGTATATTGTTATCCTTCACAAATTCTGATTTTGGGCTTGAATGATGATTCGATTCAGTAATCAAGAGAATTGGAAGTTTTGGAATTGGTTGAAAGGTAAGTATTTGGATACAAGAAGATTTATCTAAAATGTTGATAAAGACTAACAAAATATGGATTATGCGCGTTCATCGTTCGATTTTGAATTAATTAATTGGTTATCACGATTTTAAAAAATTTTAATTTTTGATTAATTCGATTTAATATCTAATTGATTGATTTTTTAATGGAAATATTATAAAATTTTTATATAAAATTATAAATTTATTTTGTTTTAAATTATAAAAATTTTAATTTAATATTTTGATGTTTAAATATTTTTATTGAAAGATTTTATTTAATTTATTTAATAAAAAATAAAAATTTTAAATATAGTTTAATTTAATTTTTTATTATTTGATTTATAAAAAATTAAATTAAATCGATTTAATTGATTTTTGAAATTAAAAAATTTAATTTAATTAATAAAATTAAAACAATTTAATTTTAATTAATTTGATTTAAAATTAATCGATCGAATGAACAGAACACTCTCATATGCACCATGTCACGACTCGTAAGCAGTGGGTTCAACCTGATGCACGGTTCAAAATTCAGACACTTTAACTTCGTTTTTGTCGGGGACGCCGAAAGCCTATTAATCAAAAGTTTGGTCTCTATTTTTAGCCATGTTCCAACCACCAAAACCGAAACGAACTCCAAAACACGAGGCAAGATCAAATCCAAGAAAACTAGAATTCAGAAACGAAACCAACTATTTTTTTCCCTTTAAGGAATCATTTTGGGATCAATCAACTAAATGGAGCGGATTATGGAAGATAAAGAGTACAACTACAGAGACGTAACTTTGCCTACATTTGTCCCAATAGTTTCAGAGCCAGAGTTAGAGAGGGAAACAGGGGAGAGAAGGAGAGGCAGAGATATAGTAATAGCCGTTGATCATGGTCCCAACAGCAAACACGCCTTTGATTGGGCACTGATTCACCTTGCCAGGCTTGCCGATACCATCCATCTTGTCCATGTGGTTTCCAGTAAGCAAAATATCACATGCTTATATATTTTCTTGGAAAATAATCAATTCTTAGGTTATTTTGTTAGTTATTTCTCAAATTCGTTTCTGGGATTTTCTTTTTAATATAGGTGTTAGAAACGAGATTGTTTATGAAACCAGTCAAGGGCTCTTGGAGAAGTTAGCTGCGGAGGCTTTTGAGGTTGCCATGGTTAGTTTATTCATTTATTTATTTATTTTTAATGCTTAAAGGTGTGAAATCATATATCTCAAATATCACATTGGCTGATCCTTGATGCATTCATCTCTATGTATATTATTTCAATACATGAGTATATTGATTATGATCTGCAGATTAATTCCTTTATTTTATTAAGAAAGAAAATGGATAACAATTTTTATGAAGACAAATGTAATCTCTATGTATGTATAGGTTCATAATGCAAATTTAGTTTGGTTAGTTCCTTTTCTGAAACTTTTAATATGGCATTTATAGAGATGTTCCAAACTTTAAATATGTATCAATAACAATCACCAACTCAAATCTTGAAATATGAATTGATTTTCTATAATTTGCACCTTAAGCTTTTAAGTTGATCTATGACTCCATTAAAGTGGAGATAAAGTTTCTGTTCATTATGAATCCATGTTGAACCATTTTCATTTTGAAATTTTTCTCTCGAATATTCTGTCAACTATGAAGATAATTGATTGTTTTATAGTTATTTAAAAGAGTATATGTTGATCGAAATGAACAGAAATTTTGAATTTTTAGTGGAACATCCTAATTGAAGTGCAATCAACAATTAGTTTTAGCATTAATACGTTTCACTTCCAAGTTTAGGATGCAATCTGATGATTTACTCGAAACTCAGGGTGGTGTAACCCCTTCTTTCCTTTGCAAATCCCTTTTAACTCCAATGTAGCTTAGAGGGATAGCAAATATTCAATGTTTGGGTTTTTTAATGTTAATTGTTTTGGAATTAGGTGAGGACTACAGCTCGAATAGTCGAGGGGGATGCAGGTAAGATAATTTGTAAGGAATCAGAAAGGTTGAAACCAGCAGCAGTGGTTTTAGGAACTCGCGGTAGAAGCTTAATACGAAGGTTTTTTCCTCCCCCTTTCCCACATGCTACATCTTTCTATGTGGATGCTTGTGCTTTTGTTACTATTCCATTCTGCAAAATGAGTAAAGGATCACCCTCTCGTTTCCTTGCTCTTCTCTCATCCCTTTTATACTCTTGCCGTGTACTTCAAGGAAGTGTGAGCGAGTATTGCTTCCACAACTGCAAATCTGCTCCTGTCATTATCGTACCTGCGAAAGGTATTCTTTCTCTAATTGATAGAATCCTTCTATTTCTTTTCTTTTACTTTCTCTATTGGAAATTTGGAATGATTCACACGTTTTTATTTTAATTTGGCAGAAGCTGGAGATGAATCACTGATTTAGTGGCATGAACTAACATGAGAAACTAATATTCATGAGATTTGTTTCTTTGTATGAATTGGCAGTGTTGCTGAGGAACCTAGAAAATTGTCTAATCTGGTTTTACCATACAATTTTTTGTGTGTAATTTATTATTTGGATTATCTGATTTGCTTGATTAGCTGAAATCCAAATTTTTGTGAATTGCTTGTCACCTTTTTTGAGGATATGTGAATGCCATGATTCCAAATGTTTTATGGCTTTTTTTTTTCTTTTCATGATTAATGGATTTCGGTCATGCAAAAGGAAAGCGGGGAAAGTGTTTGTCAGAACTGATAAATATACAAGCAAGTAGGCAGCTTATATCAGTAGATGTAATCATTTCACGATCCACAACCTGACCATGATTTTACCATCAAATTTCTGATGCATGTGAGTTGCATTCTTAACAAGTCAATGGCTGCAAGCAGTTGCTTCGCTGCAATATATCCTATCTAAAATTAACCGTCAACAAGCCCTGTCTTAGAGTTGGAATGCAAGCCCTTCATGGAATGGCTTTCCTAGGCCTTTACCGAACCATTTGTTCCCAGCTGCAAACGGGCTTACTACCTGGCTAATTCAGGTAAACTATAACAATTCAGGCCTGTTATCAGGATTAAGCAGCTTCAGTCTGATTACAGAAACATCACTTTCAAAAAAAAGCTTTCAATTATATATGAAACTTGTCTGGACTGAGGGCTGTGATTATTTTCTAGGTCCCAGACCTCGAGCAACTTGTTGTGAACACAATTTGTGGTTTGATGTGTCTTGGTCCTACCATTAAACTATCAGCATAAAAAATGAATATTTTCACATGAACTAGTCTGGTTCTTGTTTTAATACCAATTACTATATTATATGCAAATGCAAGTATATGGAAATCTGGAAATGGTGCTGGCTTTTTCTCAGAATTCTTGTTCAAGTTAAATACACAAGCACTGGGCTTTTTACTTGATCCAAACAAATTTCTCGTATTTGTTGTACTGAAGTTCACACAAACACGAGAATCTTTATGGGATTTTTGCCTTTTTCTTCCTTGGAATTGCATAATGTGAAAGGTTAGAAGGGAGGACAAGAAAAATTACACAAGAAATGGGCCCAAGAAAGGGTAAAAGCAATATCATCTTTCACAATCAACACAAAACAGAGAGAATCAAAGAGATCTTGGCTATGGATGAGGCCAGTTCCACCCCTTTCACTTTTACTTATGGCTTGAAAATGAAGGAAAGCTGTGGCTCTTATGACTCCAAGAACTAGTAAGTTGCAATGAAGGTGCGGGCAACCCTTCAGTGGTCCCTGCCAGAGCCGCAACCTACACCGAAAAGCTCCTTTCTTATTCATCAAAACACTACTCGTAGTAGTTTTTCCGTAGATAGAGACGTCTCCTAGACCTTCAGCTTTTGCTTGTAGGAATTCAGATCCATAATTTAGAATTATGATATTCAGGCTAAATGCAAATCCAATCAAGTTACATCCCAAGAGGAAAATTGAAACTTTTTTTTTTTGGGTTTTTGCTGAAAAAAGAAATGGATTGGAGGTTACAACTAGATTTGCCAACCCAGCCCCTGGATTGATCATGAGAGTGTCCTTACTTGATCATGCAGAAACCCATTTGGAAGAAATATACATAAACAAATGCAAAGTTGCATGAATAATAACTAAGGGATGGTTGCCCTTTCTCTGACATCCCTTTGCCCTTATTCTGTCTCAAAAGGGAGCCAACATGGTCTACTAATAGGTTTCATGTCCTCTGTCCTTGCAGGTGACTGCTTCAAGTTGTCACTTAGGGTCATCCAACATGGCAACAACTTGTGCCACTGGATTAGTCTATGCATTTCCTCAACGGTACAAAAATTTGTGGTTATTGAACTAGTTTTGCCCTTCAATGGTAGAAATGGTGCAGTGAAAGTACAAATAACTGTGTGATTGTTAAGGAGGTTTATTGAACCAGACTGATCTTTCCTTGCATTCATCCATATATCAACCTCCTTTACCCCACCTGTTCTGGGCATGTTGAACCCCCAAATTTTTGGTCCCCTCTTCCATCCATCAGCCTTTCATTGTACCTTTGATCTAATTGGAATAAATATAAATTTTGTACAAGATAAAGTTCGAAGTTAATTAGTATTGATCTTATACAGACTATTTTCGCCTATACATACAAATATATATATATATATATATATATACACACATTACATTTACTTAAAGAAGCAAAAAGAATATGGATCAAAGGCATCTGGAATTAGCTCAATTGTCAATAAATCGTTGACTGATATTCTGATTCACACCTCCATCTTTAGATCGCTAGCTTCAATTGAGCCTGAATAATCAACTTAAGCATGATCAGATTCAATATTTAGTATCAGCAAAAGTATTAAAATTCCAGTGATAGAAAAATATCAATAGATGCTTTGAAAATTTTTCATAAGAAGGGCACCTACTGCAACTTTTCAGGGTTGCCAGTTCAATCCTCTAAGAATTCAACAGCAAATGGAAATAAACAGTCTTATGGTTTCTTCTTCACTTGATAGTTGTAGGTTTAGATTAACTCAGGGCCCCAGTTTTGCTTTTCAAGTAGTGTTCCTGTAGATGCACATTAGTTGGTCAAAATGTTGGTTACTCTTGTGTAAATGAATAATCAAAGGGAATATAGTGTTCATTGAATAAAATCTACGGTTCTGATCATTGTTGAGTGAAAATGATAGAAAGCTTCCTTTAAAGTTTAAATTATATATGGGACAATGCTCTTCCTGAAAAGTCATTTAACAACTGTGGGGTTCTCTAATGTCTCCATCAGCAGTGGTTCCCCACTTTGCTTCATTTTCTGCCTTGAAAAATAATCAAAAACAAGAAAGCCAACATTAACAAAGGCGTTTTAGCTTTATGTACCTGTAAATGGTTGAGATGGAAAGGGCATTGATCCTTCCTGGTCAAATGCCACATTGTAAAGATTTTGCAATTCAACATCCCATGTTGCAGAGGGTTGAATTTGCTGCATTTCAAGTGTTACGGTGAGAAACACGGTGAATGCTGTAGAGGAGAGGGTAAAGCAGAGACAGCAGTAAAAAGTTAAGAGAAAATTACAGTGAAGCAGGATGAGTCAAGAAATGATGCATAGGGAATCGATACAGGGGCACTGATGGTTCTTCGAAGTGCCATATCAAGAGAGTTTATTCCCATTTCCAATCCACAAGAAGAAACCACTTGTTCAACTGGATTGAACTGAACATAAGGAGGGTTATTTGCCATTTCTGATGACATCCCAACAGCTGGAAAATTAGTCGCACAAGAAGGAAACACCTGTTGAGAACATACAATTCCAGCATTAGAAACAGAAAAGGGCCCTTATATACAATATATCTTATTTATAATCTAGATTTTGCCTTACATCTTTGGCAAAAAGATTGTCAATGTTGAAGTCAGGCCTTGGATTTACAGCAGCTAGTTTCATAGATAGGAACTGCAGATTATGAGCATGGAGGACACAATTAAGACAGTTGGTGGACATAATATATTAAGAAAATGATGATTTTATAGATTTTTTATACCTCTACTTGCCGTTGAAGGGATTGAACATAATTGATTATTTCATCAAGCATTCCTGCTTTTCCAGTGATTTTGTTACACCCCGGAACTAAATCTTGCAGATACTTCATTCTTTCACTGATTTTTTCCCTTCTAACCTACATAATGAAAACATAAATCAAACAAATTAAGCATTACTCTAATGAAAGAGACCTGGTGATAAATCATAGCACATTCTTTGATCACAACCTCAAAAATACCTAAAAAATGAAAAAACACACAAATTCCTACTCACTCTCTCAGCTAAGCTGTGGCTATCAGTGGCTTGGCCACGACGTGCCCGGACGTGAATATAATCAGGCTTTTGAACATCAGAAACCTTTGAATTTTCCTTGGAAGTACCAGTGGAAGTTTCCTTCTTGTTCTTGTTGTTGCTGCTGCTGCTTTTGTTGGTGTTTGGCCCTGTTATTTTTGACTCTCCCTCTTCTGCACAGGCTTTGATCCTCTTGGAGTCATCTTCCGCAACAACCTAAACATACCCAAAAGAGAAACTCCAATTCAATAATCTCGCCATAACCTACCCAACTCGCATATTTTGAAGTCGTCCTCTTGTTTTTTTGCTAGAATTTGGACAAGAACTCAAAATTGAGAGCAACCAAAGACCGCAAATTACATTTTGTACATAAAACAGAACTCAAGAATTGAGGAAAGAAATCCACCCACAAAAATAAAGAACGTGTCTACCTGGGCTTAAGTTTCCAGGTAAACAAGGTAAAAATAGTGATAACAATACTATAATAAATAAAACAATACACAACACACACCTTTGAGTTTTGCAACGTATCAACTTTCCTTTTCTTGAAGCTTCCTCTTCCAACGGTTGAACCCATCTTCTCAGAGACAATTGACTCCTTACCCTTAACCTCTACCGCCTGGGCGGCTACGGCCGCCGCCACGAATGTCGGGCAGCTAGAAGTCCTAGAAATGGCGTAATTCATATCAAAATCCGGCCCATTACTGTACCCACATGGCCCAAACCCCATGGCAGCCATGTCAACCTTCTCCATCTCATGCCAGGCAGTCTCTAAACCAGGGTCAGGCTTCACTTGCCGAGTCATCACCATATCACCTAACACCGAGTCACCGCTCACTAAACCACCCTGAAAGCCTTGTACTTGGCTCGAAAACACCCCACTTAACTCACTGAAATAACTTTGCTGTTCTTGTTGTTGCTGTTGCTGAAGCTGTTCCTGTTGCCATTTCAAGCAAGCATTTTGTCTCTCGAGCACTGTCATGTCCGAACATTGTAACATCTTTGGCGATGCAGTATTCATGTCAAACCCACAAAATTAAACTACAAAAAGACCCCAAAACAAACAACAAAGAAGAAAAGTGAAAGCAAAGAAAAAGAAAGTAAGAAAAAGCTGGTAGTGATAGGGAGGAGCACAATAAATTGAACAGGAAAACAAATAGTATCGAACCTAAAGAAGATTAGACAGGTTTGCTAGATGAGTTCATGCCTAACACGAGTTCCTTGTGAGGGATAGTACCATATATCACTAGGTGATGTGCTAGCTTCTTTTTTTTTTTTTTTTTTGGTTCTTTCTGGGGAAGAAAGAAAGAGAGAAAAGATGGTTTTCGAGGAGAAAGAGTAAGGTAGAGTGGGGTACATATAAAGGGGAATAAAGGTTACTGGAATATGAAAGTAGTATGAACCAAAGAATTATTAAGAGAGAGATTTTTTTTTTCCTTATTTTCTTTTGCTGTAATGACACTAACCTTTTTGTTTGGTAATCCCCACACAAACCTCAAAATTTCTTGAAAAAAGAAAAAAGCGTAAGGGTCCAAAAAAAAAGCTTTAAAACAAAACTTTAATAATTATTTAATTTTTTTGATATTTTGTTATAATAAATTAAGTGTTAAATCATCTATTTCAAATCAATTGAACAATTAAATATTAATTTTTATTTAATTAAATTTTTATATATTTATTTTCATCTAATTAAATTTTTGATTGAACAAAACAATTAATCATATTTTTTTATGACAAAAATTCAATTGATGAAAATAAATATTTAAAAGTTTAATTAATTGAAAAAGAAATTAAAATTTTAGATGATTATTAAATTTTAATTCATAAGCTTTTTTTATTATTTTAAAAAAAAAATGGGTCACATCAACTCGTAAAATTTTTTTCATAATGAATTGTAATACTAATTTTTACCAGTAAGTGAAATTTATGAGTAAAATTCTTGAAGATATTCGCACTCAATGATAAAATATATATAAATTTTAATTTTAATTTATTTGATTTATATAATTAAATAAATAAAATAATTAAATTATATATTTTGTCATGTAATACAAAAAAATTTTAAATACCTTAATTAAAATATGTATGAAAATTTATAAATTTATATAGTATAAAATATTAAAATTTATAAATTTATATAATATTTTGTGTTAAATTATATATAAAAATTTATATTAAAAACATCAAATATATTTTTTAATTTCATTAAATTTACGTATAATTATTATTAAAATTTTAAATTATATTATTTTTATATTTTTTATTTTCCTATAAGTGGGAGTTAGGAAAAGAGAGCCATGGAATGTATCCATAACCAGAGTCCGTGGGCTGCGGGGCCCACTGACGTGACCTCCACGTGGGCTTGTCCGGTGCACGGAAAAACGGCTTCTTTTCTTTCATTTCATCTTAATTCATTCGCAAACATTGTGAAGCTTGTGCTAAATTATTCGAATTTGACTACTAAAATAATGATATTATGTATAAATAATTTATAAAATTTCAAAACAATACGTCAAAATTTCACCTTTGGACTATTTTAATTGATACATTTAAAGATTATTGCAAATTCTTTAAAAGATACTTAATTAGTACAATAATACATGATAATATTTTAATAAGTGAAATTTAAAAAATTTATAATGTGTAAAATAATAGTCATTTTTTAATTATATGTTAATTATCATGGTTTAAATTTTTTATTTTCTTAATCATTATCATGATCTATTATTCTTTTTAGTTTGTTTTAATTGAAATTTTTATAATTAATATGGATTACAAAATCTAATCAAAGTTTTGGGGGTTTAAATTGGTCAACTTTATAACCAAATGAAGATCACATGAGATATTGTTTGTGATAGACATGTTTCCAAAACCAAATTGGTTGTTAGTACTTTTAATGTTACAATTCCATCCTTGTAAGGAATGTGTTTTTGACTATGTATTTGACAAATGAAATGCTTTCATCATGAATTCATATTAAATATGAATTCATGAAAATTCTTAAATCTAATGATTTCATGTTTGTAAAAATTAAAAGACTTGTTAAGATTAATTAGTTAAAATATAATTTTAAAAATATTTTTTATTAATGTATTATTTTCATCAAATTTAATGCATAAATTATAAATAAAAATTTATAAGTATTATCTTAACTAGAGCCCATAAATATTTTGAATAATAACCTAATTGCAAAGGTATAATGAAAACAAATTTGATTTCAACCATTGGAGATATTTTTTATTGATTTTTTTTTACAAAGAATATCACGATTTGGGGATAAAGAAAAATGATTACAAATATTAAAATTAAAACCTCAGATTTGTTAGATACTATATTTTAAAAATAATTACATAAATCAATTGAATTAATATATTAATTTATAATTTTTATTGAGTTCGGTAAAAGATATGAAACTTGATAAAAATTGAAAGGAATATACACTAATTATTAAGTCAAATACTCATAATATTAATGGGATATATTCTTTATTGACAAAATATAAAAGAAACTTTACTTTAAGGTGCAAAACTTGAAAAGGCTTATGCTTATTCTTAAAATTTGAAAGGAAAGCGAGTTTTGAAATTCGATATTTATTTTTAACTTAATAAAACAATCAAATCCATACACTAAAAATTGAACCTAAAACTTTATGGTTATAAAACCTCATCCTTATCATTAAATTAAAATCTTATCGGCTAAAATATTCTTAATCTACTTATTTCATACATACATCAAATGATGTACTATATTATTACATCACCAATCATATAATTTACTTTTATCATATATTTTTATATTATTATTTTAGTAAATACTACTATCATTTACTCTATGATTTCATATCATACCATAAATAACTAAGATTAAATATTTAGAGCATAGGAACTAAAAAAAATTGGACCATGATTGTCAATGCAACTATGAAAAGTGTTGTGTAAATGCCTAATGTTTTTAAGTGAATGAATACAAAAAAAAAAAATGTGTGAGTGTAATGTCTAGGGGCTTCTAGGCCCGAAAAAGGAAGGGGAAAACTCGCCCTTTGTTACGTCCCCACCCAGATGTTCCTACACGTGGCAGTATCAGTGCTCTCGATCTGACATGTCAAATGCTGACGTGGTCAAACGGGGTTCTGTTCTTGTTGTTGGATAGTTTGGGGCTATTTGAAAAGTTGAAGAGATTACGGTGGGCGGCTTTCAGCGGCTTTTATTCCACTCTCATATGCTGCGCGTGAGAGGCACTGGTTGAGTTCCGAAAACGAGCGCTCAAAGCGCGTGGACACTGATCATAAAATTGCCTGAGATTCCATTTGGGGAGGATCCTTCTAAAAATAGCAATACTCTTGGAATAATTTTGTAAATAATGCTCTAAATTCTTTTTTTTTTTTTCATAAATGTTGATTCTTTGGCTCTTAATCGGAGGAAAAACATTCCAGTTGAAAACTACTGTCGGGTTGGATTATGTTATGCAATTAGCAACAAATGACAAATGGAAGGAAGTCAATTAATCCTTTTTTTACTTTGATTGGCAAAAAAAAAAAGATAATTCTAATTTTGACAGTAAAGTTTGACATTTTTTTTCATGCACGACAAAAAAAAAGAAATTTCCTATGGAGGTTGGATTGTGGGTTGATTTTAACAGCCAGAATAGTACATGACTAGTTCGTGTCTTGTCGATAAAAGGAGAAGAGTCTTAGCCATTATCTCGTCTATTGATTTAAATGATAAAAAATTTAATTTTTTAAAATAAAATTTTAATTTTAAATATTATAAATAAAAAAATATATTTAAATAAATTTATATCTTTTACTAAATTTAATCTGATTTAATGTTAAATTAATTGTGATTAAGAGTGATTATCGAATATTTAAAAGTCGTTGATAAAAAAATTTGTTTATTTAATTTGAATTATTATACCCTTAATTTAGAATAATATTTATGTTATGAAAGTGATTGAAAGATGAAGAAATTAAAGTTGGCATTAATTTTCTATTATTTGTCTTTGTTCATATATTATCTTTCAATTATTTTTCGTTCACTATTTTTCATCTAAACAAATAATTCGTATTCATATTTCGTAATCAATCATTTTTAATCACATCATTTGAACGACAAATAAACCAAAAAACAATGATATGATATGATTTGATCATGCATTTATCCACTAATCATCACATCATTAAGATGTACTAAAAAAAGTAACCTTAAAATTTTCTAAATTTCATTTTCCTCTTTTGTTAAAAAATTAATTTTATATATTGTTGTCATTATATAAAAACAGCTTACAGTCATGATCAAGGATTTTTAGCTAGCAAGCTTGCAGATGATTTATGCAAACAATGGAAGGTAAGGGGTAGTAGCAGTAGTAGATATCAGATATGCTTTTTGAATTGGGTGGGCACAAAGTCCAGAGAGGCTGAAGGTTACTTCCATTATCACTCGAAAATATGGGCCCTTCTCACCCCTCGCTATCCCCCTCTACTTTTTATTAGCTATTTTTTTTTTTTGGTGTCCGCACTTCCACATGACCTGACCTTATGCCAAAACAAAGGGCAAATGGGGCCTCTTATTCTCTATCTCATTTGTTCCATCAGTTTCTCTCTGGTCTTCATCAACAGAAGACTACCCTTTATAGCCCCATTCAATTTGTTTTCTATGACTCTTTTTCTAGGTTAATTTCCATATATATATATATATATATATTTTGCCATGCAAAGGAGAGGATGAGGTAAGTGATTGAAAATGATTCTCCCACAAGACTGAATAAGACAATACATTGCTGCTCTGTGTAACGTCATTGAGTGTCGATGTGTGGTCCAATCAGATTCAAACTGGTGAACACAAAAATTTGAGCTTATGGGTTCGCCATGGCGATATACATATATGATCAAAATGTTTATAAAAGAAAATTTGTAATGCTTGCTCTAACATACAGGTGCCAGGAAGCCCGAAAACGAGGTGTCACTATTCAAACACGGCCATTCATGTTGTGCAATGTTCATTTATGTCCAAATATCAAAGCCACACTATAATAGCCAGTAGTTGATTTCGTCCCATCTTATCTTTCATGGACAAACCAAAAAAAAAAAAAAATGAAACTTATAATAGATGGGAGAGAAATAGGTTAGGAGGAGGAGCCAATGAGATATTGCAGCAGATCCAATGCAAAGGTTGTCCTAGTTTCCTGCAGGCCATCTCCATTACAAAGGATTCCGGGAGAGAGAAGTAAATATCATATCAGTGGAGGTGGAATCCGATTACGATAAATTTGATAATTTAAAATATAATATAATTTAAAATTTTAATAATAATTATATATAAGTTTAATAAAAATTAAAAATATGTATTTTATGATTTTATATCAAT